ATACTCACATCCAAAGCCTGTATGCATCTATTAAGCGAAGAATTGAAAGCGCCCTACCAGTTTGGATCCTTGTAGGGAAGCCCGTTATATATTGGCGTCGCGCCGCGGATGGAGCGGTGAATGCCAATGCCTAGACAGTCAAAACGCCTTCACTTTCGTGCGTATGCAACACGGTCATCCGTAGAGCCCGAATAGTTGCATCCAGGAGTTAAGGCCTCGATAGACGATCAAATTTCCGAGCCAATTCCGATCAAAGTAGCACCAAAGTGTCGGGAGTCTCATTAATTTGCTTCATTTTAAAATGAAAACTTGGCAGAAATGTTTCCAGTAGCAGTAAATGATGAATGGTGGCACTCCGTTCTGATCTTACTTTGAACAAAAAAGTGCGGCCCGTCAAAATTTGATGGCAGATGGTGACCACCAGTCATCAGCGTGTCTACTTTGATCGGAATTGGTTCGGAATTTGATCGTCTATGCAGGGCTTTAAAGAAAGAGCTTGATGCAAAAACGGCTTTTTTCGCCTCCCCCCTGGAAATTCTTCAAACTTTGTTTATTGATTACTCATACTTGAGCGCTTTTTTTCCCAAATTTCCAGACCCCCAAAAAATTTTGGGGGGCGCTAGGGGGGGGTGAAGTTAAAACCTACTTATTATTCAAACTTTAGCTGGGAGTTAAGAAAATAAAATTGAGCCAAAGACCCCTGATTCTTGAAATAAATAAGTTTCCTATAACAAAACCATTATAAAGATCTCACGTGAAAGACACTTACAATTTAATCATACTTTATGTGTGTTATGTTTACTATGTAGAACCTAATGCAGGAAGGAAGTAACAATTTTGGTGTTTCGTTTGATTAATTTCTAAATATCTAAACTGTAAGCTCAAGGAACAGGCAAAGATGTTTGATTGAATAAGCATTTAAATGAAAGTTAACTAGTACATTAAAAAGAAAGACAGTACATTAGACTAATTTTGTAAATATAAGCCATGGTAAGGTCATGCAAGATCCTGCACTAGGTTCCCCCTATTCTCATTTTTATTTCTATCTATGTAATTTTAAGTAGTACACATGTAGTCTGGGTGATGTGTAAGAATGGGTTATACAGGGTGGCCCAGACCTACCGTACCAGGGCTTTTTTTCGGTTGATTTGGGTCGTACGAAGTCCAGGATCGCGGGAATGAATAGGGAATCGACCACAAGGAATCCGAATTTCATGGTCCCAGAGCTCCCCTAGCGCCCCTTGGGGTGTAAAAGGGGGGTCCGTACTTCATAAGTCAGGGTTAATGTCAAAATTTTGAAATTCTTTCATCGGAATCAGAACGTACGGAAATTTTTAACTTAAATCGACACCAAGAAATCCAAAATCGGCCCATCCGTGTCCAAAATACCGCCCCATAAAGGTGGGGGACAGAACCCCCTTTCAAAAAAATTCAAGTTCGTTAAATTGACGTGGAGACTCGAAAAAAATGTGTATTCACAGGTAATCGACCCCAAGGAATCCAAATTTGAGGGTCCCGTTGTCCTCAGAGACTTTTCTGATGGGGCGCAGGGGGACTCTGAACCTTCAAAATCAACCGGTGTGGAGGTTACCCTTGTGCCCCATCAGAAATGTCTCTGAGGACAACGGGACCCTCAAATTTGGATTCCTTGGGGTCGATTACCTGTGAATACACATTTTTTTCGAGTCTCCACGTCAATTTAACGAACTTGAATTTTTTTGAAAGGGGGCTCTGTCCCCCACCTTTATGGGGCGGTATTTTGGACCCGGATGGGCCGATTTTGGATTTCTTGGTGTCGATTTAAGTTAAAAATTTCCGCACGTTCTGATTCCGATGAAAGAATTTCAAAATTTTGACATTAACCCTGACTTTTGAAGTACGGACCCCCCTTTTACACCCCAAGGGGCGCCAGGGGAGCTCTGGGACCATGAAATTCGGATTCCTTGTGGTCGATTCCCTATTCATTCCCGCGATCCTGGACTTCGTACGACCCAAATTAACCGAAAAAAAGCCCTGGTACGGTAGGTCTGGGCCACCCTGTATACGGAAAGCTAAAAAAGAAAATTAGACGTTGGCTAGTTTGTAAGTTTATTATATTTGTAAAACCAAGATAATTAACACCGTCATAGGTGGTTTTATCACACTTTGGAAACTAATAAAAAAATAAGAAAAAAAAAAGGATCTTCGATGATACAGGCAGCCCATAGACACAATATCCCCCAACCTCACCTTTCCATTGCCTCTCTAGGATTGTACAACTTACTTTCTTTTTGTAATGAAATAACTGAAATCATGCAAAATAATTAAATTTACAACAAGCTAATTTTATTTAGAGGTTCGGTACTACTTTTGCGCCCGAGCCAGAACCTCCCAGCTGCCGTTTCATTTGTGTTCGGAACCTCCGATTCGGTGACAGCCGAATCGCAACGTTGGTGCGTGATTTGGGTACCACCTCGCGAGGTGGTCCTAAAAACGGTTCGATCTATCGAAAATCAACGGATCTGATTGGTTGAAGCTAGAGTACCTTCATAGACAGAGTATGGCCATTTCTGTTCCGGTTTTTCATTGGTCGCGAGCGAATAGGCTGACACGATGCTCTTAGGGCCGTAAATAAACAAACAAGATGGCTGTTATCAGCAAGGAAGTTTGAGGTTATGCACATCTTACATCCTCCTGTGATATGGGCGAATGGCGATTTAACGGTGTTTTCATGTGTTTTTTATGTGTTATTCGTAGATATGCTAATTTAAATTGTTACTGCCGTGTAATTGAAATTTTTGTCAAATTTTAGCTTCCTATCGATGTTACGGTGAGCCGCCATCTTGTTTGTTTATTTACGGCCCTAAGAGCATCATGAAGCCTAAAAACTCGTTGACCAATCAAAAAGCGGAACAGTTTTCCTGTAGTAAAAAGATACGAATGGCCATACTCTGTCTATAAAGGTACTCTAGTTGAAGCTGTTGGCAGCGGTGCCTACTACTGTGTAGGGTCAGTGATACAACCGGGCGAAACTTCCAAAAGAGGTTCGGAACTTGAAATAAAATTCGCTTAAAGGTAATTTTCGTCGTACATTAGTAGTGTATTGGGGGTAAGAATAAAACTTGTTTGGATGAATGGATGATCAGTTTACATTTGGAAAGAGAGAAAGTTGCACAATCTTGGCGACATTGGAATGCTCTTCGTTCCTTTTTTCAAAATGCAGTCCACTCGACCACTGCGTGGCGTGTTTTGCAATATATCGATTGGATTGCATTTATTTGCATGAAGGAACCAAAAGCGATGCTGCTAAAATTGTGCAACTTCTTTTGTCTTGGAAGAAGAACCTGATAATGTATAAACATTTTTTGTTTTACATCCTAAAAACTGTAAATTTAAGACAAAAATTGCCTTGTAAATCTCATATTTTTGCATGATTTCAGTACTCGTATTGCAATGGATAAAGTTGCAAAATCTTAGCAACATTGAAATGCTCTTGGTTCCTTTTTGCAAAATGAAATCCGATTGATATCCCATTTAAACCTATGGAAAAGGATCGATAAACAGGGTGTTCGCAGCGAGCACCTTAATAATCGATTCTTTACCATAGGTTTAAATGGCAGAACAATCGATACATCGCAATTCACGCCACGCCACCGCCACTTGAGTTTCTGACGAGGTGACGAGTTGGTTTTCTGGAGGTGGAGGTATTCTTTCTCTCTCTTTCGCAAATATCGTCGCCCCTCTCACGTGGGGGCATATTGAAATTTCTTCGTGAGCCCTGTTTTACATATGAATCCATGCTCTCTGGGGCTCATGCATAAATCGAGATACATCCTTACGCTACAGGAGCGACGATGTATGCATAAAAGGGGCAACTCGTCAGCGGCCCGATCATTGAAATTGATAGACAAAGCTATGGACAAAGACGACAAAACGGATATGGAGGGATCCTATTGGTGGAAGTGGGTGGTTGCAATGGATAGAGGATGCAGGTAATAACCACGACCCACTAACTAACGGCAACCCATGAAAGAACCTACAGTTAGTCTATCATTTTCTCCCATTGTCTATGAGAACCACCGACCTCAACCAATAGGATCGCTCTGTACTCCTTATGTCATTTTTGTCTATTGATTATAGTAATCGGCCCGCAGGACATTGTTCATTTCTGTATTTGAATAATGGTTCCACTGGGGAGGAGATTTACACGCACGGATAGAAATGTAGAATGTAAATAAATAATACAATTGCGAATATCAATACATATAAGCTTACATTGTTTTATTACATTTTAATTTAATTTTTTTAACATTTTTTTCAATATGAATTTTTCCTCTTTTAATGTTCAAAATAACATTTCAATTTTAAACAGAGTTTTCCTGCATGTCAGAGAAAATTAAATTGAGGATAGAGATCGTGTGTAAAATTATGTTGAACTTGTTCAATGTAGAGTACCTTTATAGACAGAGTATGGCCATTCGTATCTTTTTACTACAGGAAAACTGTTCCGCTTTTTGATTGGTCAACGAGTTTTTAGGCTTCATGATGCTCTTAGGGCCGTAAATAAACAAACAAGATGGCGACTCTCTGTATCATTGATAAGAAGCTAAATTTGAAAAAAATATCAATTATACGGCAGTAACAATTTAAACTAGCATATCTACGAATAACACACGAAAAATACACGAAAACATTGTTAAATCGCCTTTCACCTTTATCACAGGAGGATGTAAGATGTGCATAACCTCAAACTTCCTTGCTGATAACAGCCATCTTGTTTGTTTATTTACGGCCCTAAGAGCATCGTGTCAGCCTATTCGCTCGCGACCAATGAAAAACCGGAACAGAAATGGCCATACTCTGTCTATACTCTAGTTCAATGTACAGTTCTCTAAATTCAACATTTTATGGGAGCTTCAAGTGCTTGTGGATTGAATCACGCTGGTAATAGCACCAATACCTACTGTTTTCGCAAATTTCAACCTTCAACATATTTGATTCAACATTTACTGATGATATTATTGCTTTCTATCTCATTACGTAGTGCTGTTTTCATTTTGATGCAAAATCCTTCAATTTTTTCGGAATTTTGGAGATACTGAGGCAATTGAAACATTCACGTTCCTGCAAAGTGTGGGAGGTTTTAAATTCGACGTGACTTTTAAAGTACACACTGCCGTGCTGAGGAAAAACGATGTATGAACATTAGAGAGTTGCCAAATTTTCTCTTCTCAAAAATGTTTATTTTTTGAGGATAGTTATGAATATTTCCTCTTGAAGTTTTCAGATGATTTAGACCTGGTCGTGAATAAAATTCTGTATAAAATTCAAAGAAAAATGTTCAAAGAATTCCCTGAAAATTCATATTTTATCGAAGGAAATTTGGCAACGTCTGAAGGCTCATACGGCGTTCTTCTTAAGCACGGCAGTACAGCTTGCTCGTGTTTGGGGTGAAGGGGTTTCGAGGCCCATTCTGATTGTTCAGCTAAAATGGTTACATGCTCTGCCCAAAATTATGCTGCAGGTAAGATGAAAGCATGCGAACAAAATTGAAAAAGAAAAATAGTGTATTTCCTTCGGAAATAAGGAATTAAAAAAATAAATCCTCCGAATTAAGCGCCTTCTTTTTCCACTCCTCTCTTCTCCTGGACATGACCTTCATACTGCCGTGCTAAGGAAAAACGCCGCATGAACCTTCAGGCGTTGCCAAATTTCCATTCAGAAAACACGAATTCCCTGGTAAACTTGTGGATATTTTCCTTCCAATTTTTCAGATAATTTTGTTCGCAACTTCACCAAAAGTTTCTGAAAATTTAAAGGCAAAATATTCATGGCGTTCCTAAAAAATGAACATTTTATTGGAGGAAATTTGGCAACTCTCGAATGTTCATACGGCAGCATAGTAGACACACTCGAGTTTCAAACCGGGGCGGATCCAGAAATTTGGCAACACAGGATTTCCTCCATTAAAACCTATGCTAAATAATCCATTCTTGTCGGAGCACCTGACCCCTTCAAGAATCGATACATTTTCATAGGTTTAAATGGAGAAAAAACAATGTTGCCAGTTTGCAGGTTTTAAACCTTGTTTTCACATGAGCCATCGGTAATTTTCTCCGAATGAAGCCAGGGCTGAACCCACACTTTAAAATTGCAGATTTTAGAATCCTTCTCTGAGGTGCCTATTTGGGCTTTTATGTGATACAGCGTCCCGGAAACCACCTGAAAAGAGGAATAAAAATCAAATTATTGAACCCAAAATCTAAAGTGAATGGTTTCATTCATCGATGACCTAGGCGCGAAACGTATCTACGTTTTTAACGTTGTAGACTTTCTATCATAGTTCATTTTTTCTTCGGGAAACAGGTCATCGTAAATTCTTGAGCTCTTGATTTTTCGTCTCTGATACTAGAACTTCAGTATGAAAATCAAGCTATAAAGGTGGCCTCTTTTTATTTCGAAAAAAATAAGATAGGAGCGGAAATTTTGAGGCACCGCAAAGGACATACGTGGTTCCGACCTCAGAGGCGGGGCGTGAATAATCGATTATCGATATTCCTCCATTTGAAGCTATGGTAAAGAATCGATAATTAAGGTGTTCGTTGCGAACGCCCTGTTTATCGATCCTTTTCCACAGGATTAAATGACAGACCAATCGATATATAGCAAAGCAAGCCACGCCACTGCCGCCCCTTGGTCATCGATGTGTGAATAATCAAATGATTTGAAACGTAGAGTCGGCTTAACTTTTGTGCCAAAGAATGGTAAAAGATTTGATTAAGTACATTATCATCCGCGGGAATGGAGATGTTGTACGTGTGAGGGATTTGCGATTTGACTGTTGTTTCTTATGTAAAAGTTAGCGAGAAACACGATGGTGCCACTGGTTTTCTCTGAAATCATCTCCCAAGCTCAAAAAAAGCTCTCAAGTTGAGGCCAAAATGGAGGGGATATCCCACGCTATATCCTGAGAGTCCACCTCTACATCAAGACAAACTCTCCATGCAAAGATAGGGAGCAAATACATTGACAGGGCTGCCACTTTATTTGGGGACTCTAAAACTGAAAACACTGCTATCACTGCTAAAATGTATTTGCTCCCTATCTTTGCATGGAGAGTTTGTCTCGATGTAGAGGTGGACTCTCAGGATAACGTGGGATATCCCCGGCCATTTTGGCCTCAACTTGAGAGTTTTTTTTGAGCTTGGGAGATAATTTCAGAGAAAACCAGTGGTACCATCGTGTTTCTCGCGAACTTTTACCTATGAAACAGCAGTCAAATCGCAAATCCCTATTGACATGCAACATCTCTATTGACTGCCCTGAACTTGACACTTGAATGTAATAAAGAGCTTTCACTCGGAGCTTCGTTTTTTGAACCGCTAACTTCACACCGTCAAAACTCCGACTGGGCTGGGCTTTTTTGGGCGTTCGTCATCCCAAAATATTCACTATCACTATCGAGTAAGTATGTATGGGTGGTTTCACAATTACTGGAATAGTTTTGTCGCCGTAACAGACAACGCATTTTTTGGGCATATTTTTAGTAGTAATGATAATCTCTCGAATTTTTTTGCATTAATCTACACAGGGTTGTGTGTTATAGTGCTTTTCAAAGATTTATCGCTCTGCTCTTCAATTTTAATTTACAAATGGCCGAAAATGTGCTGTCTGTTACGCTGACTTTTTACCGCGTAACAGACAACCTATTTCCGGAATTTACATAATATTAATTGAGAAGTAGAACAGAGCAATAAATCATTTAGGAAGCGTTATAATACGTAACCTTTTGAAGGTTAATGCGGAAAAATTCGAGTGATTATCATTCCTACTAAAAATATGACCGAAAAATGTGTTGCATGTCCGTTACGGCGACAAAACTATTCCAGTTATCGTGAAACCACCCTTATGGACTAAACCTAAGGTCTCTTTTCCGTGGACATAATATGTCCTTGCTAGGTTTTTCTGCTGCACTGAGCGATTTTGCATTTCGACGGCCAAAGTTCGAAACAACGTATCTACGTTTGTGATGTAGCAGACTTCCTGTCGTTTTTTATTTTTTCGTCGAAAAATTAGTCAACGTATCTCTTGAAAACTTCTCTGATATTTCTCCTCTTTTAGTAGAATATTTTCTAATAATTCCAAGCTTTGAAATTGGTTTATTTCTTCTCATCTCCTCGAGAATATAAACTAGGAGCAAAGATCTTAAAACACAGTAAAGATATGTGCGGTTTTGCACTTTAGCCATCGATTTTCATCTTAAGAGACCTTTTCTGCCGTGCTAAGGAAGAACGCCGTATGAGCCTTCAGGCGTTGCCAAGTCTCCTCCGATAAATACCGAATTTACTGGGAATGTTGGAATATAATTTCCCAAAATTTTCAGACAATTTTGTACGCAATTTAATCTAAAACATCCGAAAATTTCAAGGGAAAACACGAATAAATGCCGTCAAAAATACATCGACGGTGAAACTACCAAACCACGTATCTCGGTTTGCGACGTCGAAGACTTCCTGTCATACTTTATTTTTTAAATGAAAAACTACTTAACGTCCAGTCTTGAAAATTTCTGTGATTTTTCCTCTTCGTGCGGAGAAAATTCTGTGAAAATTTCAAGGAATGATATTGATTTGGTCTACCTCAAAAAAATAAAATGCGAGCGTAGATTTTTAAACACCGCAAACGAGATACGTGGTTTGGTAGTTTCACCGTCGACATGTTCTATCGAGGGAAATTTGGCAACTCTCGAATGTTCATACGGCGTTCTTCCTTAGAACGGCAGTTTTGCCTGATTCCACTTCATATCGGCGGCGCGGTGGAATTGCAAAAACGCGTATTTCGGTTGGCGACGTTGCATTTTTCCTGTCATAATTTATTTTTGAAGTGAAATATGATAGAAGAACGGGATAGCCGGGAGAGATAGAGAGGGAGGGAGAGGGGGGAGAGAGGGGGAGGGGGGAGGGAGAGAGGGAGAGAGAGAGAAAACATTCATCGGAATTTTTTCATCCGATTATATTGCAATAAATCGATGCTGATAAAATCATCACGATACATTTTCGGACGGTCAAATCGCTGTTTATCGCGATCACTGCCACTCAGAGACAAGATACCATCCACTGGCCTCCTAGCGACAGGTGGAAGCTTTTACTTTCGGAGTTTCAACAATTCCTTATGGACAATTATTAGATAGCAACAGTCATCACCCTAGTTTCGGCTGTTGACTTACCTACATGGTCGATGATGAGCTTTGGATGACGTCATGAGCCAAACAACTTTCCCAAACGTCGGCCATTTTCGGCTTGTTTGCGAAACGAAACTGCCAATACGTTGTTGAACATCAACCATGTAGGTAAGTCAACAGTAGAATGCTGAAGTCCCGAAAGTAAAAGCTTCCACCATGGCCAAGATACTAGTGGAGGGTCTCTTGTCTCTGCTGCTACTTAGGGTCTGGTCGAAATGTTACCGTAGCCTAATCTACTAAAAATCTATAAAGTCTAATCTCAGAGTTACCTGTTCACGAGCGTCGAGGACCTTCAGAACATGATATCCGTCCTTCTTTTCGCTTTCCCCGAGCGAGTCCATCGACATTTTGGCGTATCTTTGGACATCGGGGTCATTCACGCTGATCTGTTTTAGACCGCCGAGCATAAGACCGCCTAATAACCCTCCACTATGCTGCATAGATCGCTGAAAAATTGAAGAAATAACGTAAAACTCCAGCTTTATCGATGCACGTTAAAACTCGGAAAAAATTAAGGACACTAATGGGTTTCGCATTTATTGACACCTTATCGCGATAAAATCGCTGAGACACAATCCGCACGATAACGGGTCAGTTGCGCTGGTCACAGAATCGTGTTCCGATGTTTGATTCCTGTAGATCGGCTGAAAATACACGGAGAAAATTAAATTGCTGGGTTAACAATTCAATTGCTGAAATAAGTGACTGCAATGTTTCAATGTAGATTTCACAATAAAAAATAATGCTCCTTTAACCACCCCCGCGGTTAAATTAGCTTACAATAGTGGTTAAAGTAGCATTTTTTTTGTTGTGAAATCAACTTTAAATTATTGCAGTCACTTTTTTTTAGCAATTGAATCAAGGCCGGATTTAGGGGGTGGCCACATGGGCCGCGAAACACAGACGAGGAAACACAAACGAGAAAAGGTGACAAAATGTCTCATTTCCTGAGAGTACCTACATATCTAATTTTGTCGTCCTTCTGTGATTCAATAGACAGCACCTTTAATTAGTCGAGTAAAAACTAAGAAAGAAACCGAACGCAGAATTTGGCCTGGAACGGCGCGGCGCAAAGAGCACTGATGACGAGAACTCGGGATGAAAAGGAGAAGCCCTCGGCGCGGCGGTCGGCATGAACACATATTAGCGCCTACAAGACTGCATGAATACTTCACGCATTGCGTCAAAGACTGTGCGATCGCTGCGGATAGCAACGGGCGGCGTGAAACGCAAAGCGCCTACAAGACTGCATGAATACTTCACGCATTGCGTGCAGCAGCGGTCGGCGGAAAACGCATAGCGCATACAAGACTGCAGGAATACTTCACGCACTGCGCCAAACACAGTGCGGTCAGCGCGTTATTAAACGCGTCAAGTTAAAATTATTAAACCACATTTATGTTTGTTCTTTCATAATTTTTTCGTTCATTTTATATAAATGGAAGGCCTTGTTTACGGTTTACGGAACTTAATTTTCGCGCCAAGTTCCGTGAACTTTTGCTAGTAGTGTTGAAATGGCTTTCGCAAAAAATGTATCCAACACGAGTAAACGCGTCTCATGCACCCCTCCCCTTTCGGCACGTTCACTTGATGGTTTTTATTGATGTTACAAAACGAATGAGAAGGGAGCGGCAAAATACAGGCGGCCCATGGGCGGCAAGTAAGTAAATCCGGCCCTGAATTGAATTGTTAAATCCGTGAAATTTTTTCCGTGAAAGCCTGTTTAAGCAGCAACTCTCTACGTTCAATATTAACCGAGATACTGCGCTTTGAAAAATTCGGTTTGTTATGTCATCCACCGCAGTAGTAACACCCTTGGTTTCTTCCATCTTGCTTTCAACCAAGTTTTATGTTGAGTAAAGAAGTTTTATGTTGAGTAACCTGTGCGTGCGTTTGTGTGTCCTCCGAACTGCTAAAAGCGAGGTGGAAGAAATCAAGGGTGTCACTACCGTGGTGGATGACGTCAGAAACTCGACTTTTCAATGGGCAATACCTCGGCTAATATTGAACGTAGAAAGTTGCTGTTCGGACAGATCCTATTAGTTTTAGATAATCTACAAGAATCAAGCATCAAAACCGATTTTGTGACCAGCGCAACTGACCCTTTCGTAATGTCCTAAATTTATAGTTTTCAGTGGTTTGAATGAAGAAAAATGAATGAATTCATTGATGGACAATCAGCTCATTGTCGGACTTTAACACTTAAGTAACCATAAATTCCGTCATTCTCCCGTGTGAACCCGGAGAAACAGAGATATGCGGAGAGCACACTGAAAAAAAATTCTCGGCGTTTTTACCAGGGTCCGTTGGTACCTTTACCATCTCACTTTTTCCCCCAATTATTGGTAATTTTACCAAGAAAGACTGGTAAACGTACCTAAAAACCGGTATTTTTACTGTTTATCTCAGGTAAGAATACCACTTTCATTGGTGATCAATTCCCGGTAACTTTGCCGTTTTATCTCGGTAATTTTACCACAGTCGATAAAAAATATTGGCGTTTTTACCAAGGTCCAGTAAAATTACCGAGAAAGTTCAATAATTTTACCGAGATTTCTCGGTAAAATTACCAATTCCATAAATGGTAATTTTACCAAGAAAAAACTGGGATCAAATAGAACCCTGAATTCTTGGTAATTTTACCCTTTTCTTAGTAAATACACAGAGATTTTTTTTTCCAGTGCAAGGCTCACGTGGAAAGAGAGATACGCGTTTTCGTCAAAGGGACGATAAAATGGACTATGCATTTTGCAATTTGGACCTATAAATTCTGGCTCATTTGAAAAAAACACTTATGAGCATAGGGAAACTAATGGCACATACGTTGTTTTTAAACCGGGCCGGAATTTATAGGTCAAAATTGCAAAATGCAGTCCAAATAAAGAAATCGAGGAACGCACCTTCCTTCTTGAGCTCAGCACACAGTCCACTTTGTCTATCTTGGGTTCCTCAGACGCTTGAACATAAGCGTACACATTGCAGATTTTCCCATTTTTAGTTCCTTCTTCCGCATGATCATCGGCAACATGTACTTTTAAATGATAAAGGGGTCCCGAGGATGATGGACTTGAGTCTGCCTGAAATTAGATTGAAAAAAAAACATGCAAAACTGCACACGATGGCAATCCTTGAAAGTTGGCAACACCGGGCATAGATCGCTTATCTATACACATTTAAAACAAACTATTTATCTAAATAGCATTTCTCAACGGAAAAATTGCGATATTTCGGAATTCAATTGCGATTTTTTTACGATTTTTGGGAGGTAAAATCGTTCGGATCATCAACATCTGAGTGATTATCCTCGATTTTGTTGCAATTTTATTACTGTCACATCGCATTCGATAAAACCGAAATTTCGTCATAATTCATCCCGATTTTTTGTTCAATAATATTGCGATAAATCGCCGTCGATAAAATCGCGATACATTCTCCGATCAAATCGTAACTTATCGCGATCACTGCTACTTGGGTATATCGATATCTTGATGGCTGAAGTGTGAAACCACGTATCCCCCAGTGGCGTGGCGTGAATGGACCACTAGATAAGGTACGAATTTCAGCATTCTGATACATGTTTCTTAACCAAAAGTTCACGTAGAACACGATGCGCACAACGAAAATTACCGAAATTAACTCCTTACGAAGATATTTAATGATTCTTGATGCGTGAATTCAAACCACCCCCCAAGTAGCATGGATTGCAATTTCATTGCAATGGATTGTGAGTTGATTGCAATTTTTGCTTGTTGCCTATACGTTCATTTGAAGGCGCTTAAAAAGTTGCAATTTTATTGCAATAAGTTTGCAAGAAAAGTAGATTATGCTTGTTGCCTAACCTTCTTTTTCAAGGCACTATAAAGACTGCAATTTCGGTGCAATCATGTTGTAACAAATTCACGCCATGTGCCTGGCATCCAATTCTCTAGTTGTTTTAAAGTTTTTTCGACTTAAATGTCTCACCTAACCCATATAGCCCAACATATTTTGAAAATATTGTCACCTTTATCAAAATATTTTCATGGCAATATTGTAATTAAAATATTTTCAAAATATTTTTAAAACATTTTAAAGGAATATTTTGAAAATGTTTACAAAAAATATTTTTAAAATAATTCAAAAATATTGCCTGTAAACATGCATGTTAAAAATATTCCTTAAGAAAGTTTTGAAAATATTTTAAAAATATTTTTTGAAAATATTTTTAAGTTCTCAAGTTAGTATGTGGTGTAATTTACACCGGTGTAAATTTAGTGTGAGTACCTATTACGTGATATCGAAAAAAAAAATCAGACAAAAAAAATATGAAAAAAATAAATAACACGAAAAAAAATAAATAATAGGCAAAAGAAAGAAGCCTGAGAAAAACGGCGTTAATCAAATCTATGATGAATGTTGAGCCACGCACTGACGCAATGCATGCGATAACAGCCTTAACAGGCGTGATTTCAACCAAGCTCATCATCAGCTCCCTGTAGCTCAGTGGAAGAGTGCTCCGCTATGACATTCGCGGGTCGGGTTCAAGCCCACTCAAGGGCGTCCGGTATTTTATGCTGCTAAACGTCGTAGGACATTAGGTAAGCATGGGTTCGAATTATTATAATTTCCCCGGAAAATTTAGGGGTTGAAATTTAAAGGTCGTCAATATTGAAATTTCTTTGCAAAAAAAAAATTGCAACTTTTTTACAATGAGGGGGTCAGATGTTGTAAAATAATTGCAATTTTCTTGCAAGAAAGTTGAAATCATCTGGAAATTTTATTTCATTTAAATTGCAATTTTTTCGTTGCAAAATGCTACTTGGGCCGCTCATGAAAACTCAATGCTCTACGTGATTCACATCGCGCGCTAAACGTTTTCATGACAGTTTTTGCGATATAAAAATCTGGCAACCTCAATCTTGACGCTTTGGCTCAACTATAGCAAATTGTTTCTAGTTTGAACAACACATGGTGGAAAATTAACATTGCTCGATTGAGAAGCTTGCTGAAACCGTTGTAGTGCGCGATTTGACTCACGTAGGGCTTTGAGTTTCTTGTCAGCGGGCAGTTCAAATTCCTCGTAACCAATGTGAAATAAAAACGTTAATATCTTCGATAGGAGTTGGTTTCAGTCATTTTCGTTGTGTGAATAGTTTTCTACGTGAAATTCTGGTTAAGAAACATGTATCAGATTGCTTAAATTCGTACCTTGTCTAGTGGTCCATTGCGATTTATCGAATGTTATGCCATTTAAACCTATGAAGAATCGATTATTAAGGTGTTCGCTGCAAACACCCTGTTTATCGATCATTTTTCATAGGTTCGAATGGCATAACAATCGATAAATCGCAATTCACGCCACGCCACTGGTATACCCGTCTGCAACGTTGCGGACTTACTGTCATACATTATTTTTTCTTTGGGAAACCAGTGAGCGAAATTTTTTGAAAACTGTTCTTTGATTTCTCTGTTCGCAGAATATTTCTGAATGAATTTCAAGCTATTAAATTGGCTATTGGAGCTGCGTTCCAAAACACCATAAGAATTCTTGTAGTTGGTTATAGAAGGCGATAAAAAGCTATGTATATACGAAGCGATAAAAAATTATAGGTATAGCCGGGCTATAGTTCCTATCGCCGGGCTATATAGTTTATCGCTTGGCTATAGGTACTGCCGCGTGAAGGAAAAACGCCGTATGAACATTCGAGCGTTGCCAAATTTCCCCGGATAAAAAATATATTATTAAGGAAAGTTATGCATACTTTTTTTTTGAAATTTTCAGATATTTTAGATCGAATTGCGTACAAAATTGTTTGAACATTTTGGAGAAAAATATTCACAAGTTTCCCAGTAATTTCGGATTTCATCGAAGGAAACTAGGCAACGTCTGAAGGCTCATACGGCGTGTTTCCTACCCTGGTAAAAATTGGCAGTAGAATCTGTGTTCCAAAATACCATAGACCTACAGCCGGCTGTAAGATTTCCAATAGCTTTTACAGCCGATGGTGATTAAGCAACAGCCAGGCGATAAAGTGTATGCTAAACGTTACTAATTACGTATGCTAGGACTTAGTGAGTTTTTGGACTACCGCTCTCTTTTTGGGCCGTAGTATCTTGATTTATTTTGCGAGGAAAGCTCCGTACTTTTGATAGATGCCTGCTATTCCTAATATATTAGAGCGCCTTCAGTTTTGTATGATACTGTGCAATACCTCTGGTGTGAAATAGTTGCTTCAAGCGCCGTGGTGCGCTGCGGCGAGGCGCGGCGGGCGAGCAGCCAGCGCTGAACGCGCATTGGCGCCTACAAACCTAACAGGGATACTTCACGCGTTGCGCAATGCGTGAAGTGTCCCTGTTAGGTTTGTAGGCGCCAGTGCGACGCCGCTCCGCTTTGTGTTAGGCTCTAATATTTAATCTGGCGGAGTCAGCGTTATTCAAGTCATGATTTTGAAATGTTTGCATATCCTGTATGGATTATTCTCATTTTAATTGATGAAAAAAAATATGCATTAAAGGAAAATATAATATGTGTTTTGTAAACAATAAGGTGGTTCCGTATCAAACTTAATGATTTCCAAAGTACACGAATTTCTACACAATTTCTTATAGCCTTTAATAATCGATGACGAAAAAGCAACAGCCCGGCGATAGGAACTATAGCCCGGCGGCATAATTTTTTATCGCTTCGTATAGCCCGGCCGTATGATTTGCTCCACTTTCTACAGCCAGCTATATGATTTTCTGTAGCCTTCTTCAGCCGGCTATAAGAATTCCTATGGTATTTTGAAACGCAGCTCTTATAGCCAATTTTTACCAGGGTAAGCACGGCAGTATAGCTGCTCTTCTAGCTGCTGGCTACATCCTTATCGCCATCGGCTATCAGAGACTGTAAGTAATTGTATAGACGGCTATATAGGTTTGTGGTCATTTGGAGCACAGATCTTTTGGCCAATTTTTACCAGGGTATAATTTTTAAATCTTGAAAACAGATTTATTCCGTCAAAACGGCTGGAATTTGGCAAGTTACTTTTACAGACATTCGTGCGGTTGGAGAGTATTGCCTAAGAGAGAATCGATACATTTCCATAGGTTTTAAATGGGGAAAAAAACAATGTTGCCAACACGCTGAATCCGCCAATGCAAGCGTTTTTCTCGCTTATCAAGAATCCAGGTATATCCTGAGAATTTATGTTGAAATTGAGGCGAAAATTATGAGAAAACTTCACGATAAAAAGTCCACTGAGTGAATGCTTTTCGGCTCGATAAAAGTGTGCAACATCATACTCGATTTTGACAACACGCAATGGTGATGGCGCTTATCAGGTTTTGAATTTCCAATCTTCGAATAGCAGTGAAAATCATGATGCAGTATATTCTGCCGAGCTAAGAAAAAACGCCGTATGAGCCTCCAGGAGTTGCCAAATTTCCTCTGGAAAATCACTAATTTTCAGGAAATTTTTTGAATCTTTTTCTGCCAATTTCTTCGATAATTTTGTTTGTGATTTGATCTAAAGTGGCCAAAATTTCAAGGAAAAACATTTACAACTTGGCTCAAAAACAAACATTTAACTGAAGGAAATTTGGCAACTCTCGAATGTTCATACGGCGTTTTTCCTTAGCACGGCAGTTTTGCCATACAGACAGAATGACATTTGATAGTTGTTGTAACAATTTACATGCATGTGACGATGAACCTAAAAGTAATTACCTCCTTATGGGCATGCACAATGTCAACCATTCTCAGCTTCTTTGTTGCAGACAAATGTGTAAATTGCGATAGAAAGCTGTTTGAAATCTGCTGAACTTCCTGAGAATTTTTGTCAACGAGCTGCAGATTCTCCGACTTTTCAGAGCGCTAAAATCAGACAGGGAGACAAAATTCTCTAAGAGTTAAACTGAGAAAAAAATGCATGAGAATAAATATAGACTGATCAAGTTTCATCCTTCAAATTAAATCTAAATAAGTTTTTTTTTTTTTTTTTTTTTTTTTTTTTTTTTTTTTTTTTTTTTTTTTNTTTTTTTTTTTTTTTTTTTTAAGCTCGCCAGTAGGGCTTGCTCTTCGAGATCACTCGGATGTACTTACCATAGTACAGTATTTTCAGTTTTAGCGGAAAATTGAACGAAGCGGGAAATGTTGAATCTTGTTCTGTTATAGTACCTGTAGGGTAATAGTGAATCGAAGGTATGCACATTTGCTACATAGTCCAGGCAAACAAGGAAAAGAGCCTGCAAAAATCCCGGGTAGCAATGTTTTCATCGATTCCTGTGTAATTTTTGACGCTGAATCCGGATTTCAACTTTGCGCCATTAAATTCGGACCGGAAAGTTGCCAAATTTGGCAAAAATGGCCTAAAATCGGACTTTTTCCGGATTATGGCCTGTAACTTGCCAAAAATTGATCTGACGATAAAATTAGTTATTTTCAGAAACAAAGCTCGTTAAATTTCCTGTAAAAAAGTTTCTATACATTTTTTTGCTCAATGCGCAAATTTCAAGCGCGCTGGCGGACTCCGAACTTTGTATAATGTGCGAACATTGCGCATACTGTAATGTGTTGGGTTATCCTTATTATTTACATCAATTCATTTCACTAAGTGTAAATTTTACCATCTTCACTTAATTTGTCCAGAAATTACTCGTCGGACGATTAAAACAGGAGACATTGGGCAAAAACCGCGAAAAACACAATTTTTGCTCATTTTTCAAAGTTCGGAGCCTGTCAGCGCGCTTGATTTTGCATTGAGCAAAAAAATGTATAGAAACTTTTTTACAGGAAATTTAACGAGCTTTATTTCTGAAAATAACTAATTTTATCGTCAGATCAATTTTTGGCAAGTTACAGGCCATAATCCGGAAAAAGTCCGATTTTAGGCCATTTTTGCCAAATTTGGCAACTTTCCGGTCCGAATTTAATGGCGCAAAGTTGAAATCCGGATTCAGCGTCAAAAATTACATAGGAATCGATGAAAACATTGCTACCCGGGATTTTTGCAGGCTATAGCCCTTTTAATGGCTTATTTGCCTGGACTAACAGACTATCCAAAAGCGACGAAACGCTCCGTTCCGTTCGTTCCGTTATAGTCTTGGCGTAACGTTTTAAGTAAATGCCGATTTTTTTCTTCCGATTCTCATTCGTCCAATCGCGCTCCCGGCCAGAGGGAGATTGGACAAATTGAGAGTATCATTTTTTGGTCGCTCTTTTGCAGAGACAAGAGACCCTCCACTGGCCTTTTGGCGACAGGTGGAAGCTTTCATTTTCGGGGATCCGACAATTCCTTGCGGAAATTTATGAGGGAGTACCTAACAGTAATCACTCAAATTCCGGCTGTTGACCTACCTACATGGTGGATGTAGGGCGACGCCATGAGCCAAGCAAGTTTCCCAAAACTCGGTCATTTTCGGCTTGTTTGCAAAACGAAACTGCCGACATGCACGTTGTTGCGCTTTTAATCGGGAAATATTGAACCACATAAATTCTACTGAGAAACTAATTCTTGAATTCTTCGGAACGTTTCATCCCATAAAAATCTGAAAAAGAAGTATTCTCCCGCCGAGAATAGCCAAAATTTCAGTTTTGGTTCCTAGTTTTAAATGCCCATGGATTTTCCCGCCGATGGCGCTCACAAAACTACTCACGCGCGCTCTTCCGCCGATGTTAGCGATCTGGACTAATCTGTGCTATATAGGTACTCAACAAGATACTAGTAAAGGGTAGAGTACCTATATTAAGAGAGTATGGCCACTGGGTCCCATGGAGAGGCTTAGGACCCAAAAATGGCGGTGCTTTGTTTTGGTTTTTGATGATGGGAGGGGGGTTAATTATTGCCAACTTTTGACGGTTATCACCAACCGCACTTGCTGCCAACCTTACTACATCTAAGATCATTTTTCTCAAAAATTGCACACGATTAGCCTTAAAAATATGTAAAAAAGTCGCAATAGTGCATTAGGGTAAAGTTCTCGTTACGATAAGCAAAGACAACTACATTTTGAATCATTTTGCATTACATTAACTTTATGGCGTCCGCCATTTTTGGGTCCTAAGGGCTCCATCCAGCCTAAGATGGCTGAGCCAATCAGAGGTGGTAACTCCAGTGGCCATACTCTCTCAATATAGGTACTCTAGTGGAGGGTCTCATGTCTCAACGCGGGCCGAAGAGATCGCGAAGCGTCCTCTGGGGGTTGGGCCGCATAGCGGCCAGGGGGCATAGCCCCCTAGTATCAATATACACTGTGTATACCTTTGTTTTGGTTGATGGCTTGTCATCGCAAGACGCTTCTGTAACTTCCGTTTTGTTGAGCCACGTCCTCACCCACACTCTGACTCTGCACAGTCTCGTGTCCGCGGACTCCGAGTCGGCAACTTTCAGTGTCAACAAATATAAAGATCCGGAAACAACCTGCACACCATAGTGACAATTAGTCGAGATCACTCAAAGAAAAAAGGAGAAATTTGCTTGGTAGCGTTTCCAGATCTCACTGGTGTAGCTACGAGGCGATCATCGAAAAAAACCCGGAATGGACCTCCTGGTCAAGGTATGAATTGAAGGTGATTCGATGGACGCCATATTTTGTGTTAGAACGGCATGCGATATATCGCATCAATCGGTTCCATTTATTCAGCTACTCGTCATTTTTCTCCAATTTTGAGATCGCAACTCTGTTGTCAGAAGACTAAAGCCCTAACCTCCCAATTTTAACAAAATAATTCAACGTCATAAAGGCGTGGTTTTTTTAGAGAAAAAACATCGCATTCGATACTGATATCGAAACTGCACTCGAATGCGATATTTTCTCTCTGAAAAAACCACGCCTTTATTACGTTGAATGTCTTTGTTAAAATTGGTAAGTGAGTGCTTTAGTCTCCTGACAACATTATTGCGATCTCAAAATTGGAGAAAAATGACGAGTAGCTGAAAAAATGGAACCAATTGATGCGATATATCGCGTGCCGCTCTGACAAAAAATATGGCGTCAGAGCGATGTGCGATATATCGCATCGATTTGTTCCATAATTTCAGCTACTCGTCATTTTTTTCGAATTTCGAGAGCGCACTACTGTTGTCATGAGACTTAAGAACTCATGTACCAAATTTGACAAAGAAATTCAACGTAACAAGGGCGTAGGGCGTGCGTGGTTTTTTTAGAGGGAAAAAATCGCATTCGAGTGCAGTTTCGATATCAGTATCAAATGCGATATTTTTCCTCTAAAAAAACCACGCATTTGGTACGCTGAATTTCTTAACGCGATATTTTCCCTCTAAAATAACCACGCCTTTATTACGTTGAATTTCTTTGTCACATTTGGTACATGAGTTTTTAAGTCTCATGACAACAGAAGTGCGATCTCAAAAATTCGAAAAAAATGGCAAGTAGCTGAAATTATGGAACAAATCGACGCGACATATCGCACATCGCTTTGACACAAAAAATGGCCTCCATCGAATCACCTCATTCTGATATATCGACGGTGTAAGTCGGCAATCACATAACTCGGTTTGCGACGTCGTCACAGACTTCCTGTCATAAACGTTATTTTTTTAGACGGAAAATTACTCATAGGCAATTATCTTTAAAACTTCCGTGATTTTTCTTCTCTGTGCGAAGAAAATTCTGCAGAGACTTCAAAGAATGATGTCAATTTGTTCTCTTTTAAAAAATTAACATTGAGGCGGAGATTTTCAGACACCGCAAAAGAGTTATGTGATTGCCGACTTACACCGTCGATCTGTTTCTTCAACAGAGTTACACGTAAAACACGATTCCTGCACCGAAAATTACTGAAATCAACTCCTAATTATGATCTTAACGTTTATATTTTACATTCGTTACGGGAAACTTAAATTACCCGGTCACAATAAGAAACTCAATACTCTACGTGAGTCCAATCGCGCAATCCAACGGTTTTGGCAGGTTTCTCAATCGAGCGTTGTTCCTTTCCCATCCTTTATTGTTCAAAGTGTAATCAATTTGCTACAGCTGCGCCAAAGCTATCTATATAACTATAAATATCCGATGACTATCCGTGCTCTACTGTAGGTTTGTTGCCTATTCGGCAAAGTTGAAGGCGAACTTTAAGTGTACCATACCTATCGATTGGAAAGGAACTAGAGCACTCCCGCACAAAATGCACAGACCGGACTTTTTTTCCTGATAGAGAACTCGTCAGAAACTTCAAATAGGTGCGTTCATTCTTTCATTTAACAGGTCGTCACCTCCCGGCCAAAGTATCACAAGCTCCATGCAACGTTTAAAAATTTTCGCGGCCATTTTATTTTTTTACAGAGAAATTTTTCAACGAAGCTGTCCGAAAATTTCACTGAATTTTCTTTGTGCAGCCGATGAAATTCAGCGAAATTTTCAAACAGATTCAACCAACGATTTCTCTGTAAAAAAACAAAATGGCGGCGGAAATTTTGAAACGACGCATGGCGCTTGTGATACTCTGGCCGGGAGGTGACGATGCCATGACGAACCAACCAAAACAACTACCGGAAAACCTGGAAAATTAAAATTTACCTGAGTATTGGCGTCGACAACCTCTACCAATTTGAGTTTGCTTTTGGATTCTGAAAGAGCCTCTAGAGAGGAAAGAGAAAACTGCGCGTACTTCAAAACGTCTGCGTCAGCCACTGATTGCGGCTGAAGTCCTCCGACCCAGTGATCCGGCGATCTCTGAAATGCAGTTTTTTCAAATAAAATTTCAGTAGATATTCGATTTTGATGAAATATCTGACCCAAAACTCGTAGAAATAAATTTGAATTGATGCGACCCCCAAACCCTGTTCCAACGGTCTCTTTAGCCCTGGATAGACGAACAAATTCCGAACCGATTCCGATCAAAATAGACATGCTGATGACTGATGGTCACCATCTACCATCAAATTTTGACGGGCCGCACTTATTTGTTCAAAGTAAGATCAGAACGGAGTGCCACCATTCATCATTTCCTGTCACAGGGAACATTTCTGCCAAGTTTTCATTTTAAAATGAAGCAAATTAATGAGTTTAAGACTGATGACTCCCGACACTTTGATGCTACTTTGATCGGAATTGGTTCGGGAATTTGATCGTCTATCCAGGGCTTTAGATGTCCAACAAGTTTATGATATCTCAGCGAAATATTATATTGCGACTATTAACGGTACGACGGTAAAAGGAACCTTTAGTAGCGATTTTTGTCGAGTTAGGTCGGAAAGTGGGATTTTGAGATCTTGACGGAAAACCCTCTAGCACCCTAAAGGTTGAATTAAGGGTTGATATTTTTGGGCTGACAGAAGGAGGAGAGTTGCGTTTTCATCCGGCAATATTGTGCCCTGAAAACGAGACAAATTATATAATTTCAAATCTCTCTATGTCGCGGTTGATTTTTTTAAATGGTTCGTCTGTTATTGCGTTGTTTTCTGGCACAAAGCGAAAATTCACATCGTGATGAGCTGTGCTTTCTCGTTTACATTTTTTCCTTTAATCGTAGGACAATGTTTCTCTCGGCAGAAATATGACACGATGAAACTACAAACCATCTTTGCAGTGTTCGGAAAGAACCAAAAGATATCAGCTCGATCTCGCCGAATTTTGACGGAAAGTTTGTTGGTTCACACAAGTGATGCCAATTCGTTGGGAAGTTTAAAAATATTTCCCTCATGGCTTAAAGCAAATGTCTAGAAATTTTCAGCGATTCCCCATGTAAAAAGGTAAATTGTCCAATTAAAGACAACAGCTAATATCACACGGTTCCAAAGTGGTTCGTGTAGCATCAGGTAGGACTGAGGAAATAAAATGCACCTGCTTCCTGCTGAGCAACTCATTTCCACAGCTAGGATCATATACTTCTGGGGTGCCTCCGTTATGAGGTACTGCAATCTTCACATCACAAATTTTTTCATTTGCTCTAGAATCTGCCACTTTCAATTTCAAATGATAGACTAAGCCTGCGATGACCTGGAATCGAGAAAAATTTGAAAAATTGAGTATCCCAAGAAGCAGTGATCGCGAAAAATAGCGATTTTATCGGTTGGTTATCGCGATTATATCGGTGGCAATAAATCGAGATATTATCGCATTAAAAATTGCGATGTACGGCAATTAAATCGCTACACGTCGCAATTTACGGTTCGGTAAAATCGTGATCAATTTTTTTCCTATAAAACCGAGATCAAATCGCTATTAATTGCAATTTTTATTTCGAAAATATCGCGATACATTGTCGGACGATAAAAGCGCGATAAGATCGAGGATAATCGCTCATATGTTGATGATCCTGGCGATTTTTTCTGGCTTAGGTTGGTGCTAATATAATATTAATATGCGTTTCAAGCCGACCGCACTTTGTTTGGCGCAATGCGTAAAGCACTCCTACAGTCTTGTAGGCGCTGATACGTGTTCTAAGCCGACCGTGCCGACCGTGCTGTCATTGGCACAATGCGTGCAGTATTCACGCGGTCTTGTAGGCGCTGATATGTGTTCCAAGCCGACCGTGCCGACCGTGCTGTCATTGGCGCAATGCGTGCAGTATTCACGCGGTCTTGTAGGCGCTAATATGTGTTCCAAGCCGACCGAGTCGACCGTGCTATGTTTGGCGCGATGTGTGAAGTATTCACAGGGTCTTGTAGGCGCTAATATGCATTTAACTTGGACCGCAATGTAGTGGGGCCGATAAGCGTAACAATCGTGCACTTCTGGAAGAAAGCATGAAAATTTCAGGGATTCATCTCTACCCTATAGACATTCGATTTAGACATAGACCCCAAAAATCTGAGCCCCCTGGGGGGCAGGGGGGCCCCCAAATTTTGAATTTTGAATAACTACGGAACGGCTAATGTTAGCGTAATTTTTTTACAACAGAACGATGGGAAATTGTATTAGGAACAAAACTGGTTCTTATGAATTTTTCCGTGGGATCGATATTTTAGGCGTGAAAACGGGAAAAACCATCGGGGGACGGGGAGCCGGCCGTTCTGAGGCAGATCCGCGCGCTGCGCTGCCTGCCCGGGATGCGCGCGGCGGCGCGGTACGGTGTTACCGACGAACCGCTTGTCTTTGTTTAATTTCAACGATGCGCAGTTTTAAAAATATTATGAATATATCTTACTACCTATGAAGCCTTAAAAAAGGCTTTACTTTTGCAGGTAATATAATGTATGTATGCAAGCGAGCGGACGGCAACGGAAGGAGAAGGGGTTAGGTGCTGGAGTTCTGGATTGTTTTGTTGTATGGATTTGTCAAGTTCAAGTACTAAATCATTCAAGATAACTGTATCAGTCATCAGTTGAATGGAATATAATCTGACGTACAGTTGTCTCGGGAAGGGGGGGGAGCTAAAAGTCACACATTTTATTTGTATACCACGATGACCTGAAAAATGATTTTAAAGTGTTCGTACCAGGATGGTATCTAAATATGCTTACCAACCCTAAAGTTCCCGGGAGACGGCTTCTAGCCAGACTTTCAAGACAGGGAACCTAATTTTGTAAAAAAATGAGTAAAAAACAAGCATGCTTATTCTCTTCTCTCGAAGGAACATTTTGGTACATCATTGCTACGTATAGGCATTTTTTTAAGAGGATCAAAACCACATTCAAAACTTGCTCCAAGAAACGCCAAAAGAATCTTGAGAAAGCTTGATAGGGATAAACGACCCCCCAAAAACCTTTGTTGGACTGCTTCTTGTATAGGTGTAAGGAATATTATTAAGTAATAATTAGCCGCCACTATCCGCTAATCTGCAAAAACGGTCTGTTTGAGTGATATGAAGTCGCGCCTACTGGGAACATATCCTGCTCTTATGTCATCAATAAAATCTCGCATCACACGATTTCCCTCAATCTCGGTAATTTTGCAACTGATTACCGATTACTGATTTTAACTGATTTGTTGATATTTTGACAAGAAATTAACCCTCTGATAATCTCTGAAGCTAATTTGATCAGTGTTATACTGTGCGATAAAGTTTAAGGTGTGCGTTTTGTGCATTACATATTTCGCAAGTCCCGTTTCTTGAAAGTTGTCTCCGACATACCTAGAACTCTTCCCCGAGCTCTATACAAATAAAAAAATGGTACGAGATTTGCGGGTTAAAAAACAAGAAATGCAATGAATTTCTTCCTGAGGTACTGGTCCTTCTCAGAGGTTCTTTAAAGGATCAGAACCTGCATATGATAAATAAATTTCCTCCTATATTAATATTTTTTTCAATACAAATGTTACCAACTCCACTGCAAACTCCATAGAACAAAATGAAAGATAATATACATGGATTTTTTTTACTGCTCATTCCATTTTTTATGTCTTGTGGCTATAGTATACAAATAATAATCTTCAAGTGTGACTCGATAGAAGCGATAGTATTCAGATATCTTCTTTTTTATTATTCATTTGATATATCGTTCTATTTTGTGAAATATGCATATTTGTTGAATATCTGAAAGAGTTGGAAGTTCATGAAAATGAATAGGTACGTCTGTTGACTGGCTGGAGTAAAAAAGAGCAGAAAAGAACACTGTCGGAATGTTCCGTATGTGTCAGTACCTATGCAATGCAATCGCGAGAAACTAATTAACAAGAACGAAAAACGATATTAGAGGAAAAGGAAGGACATCTGGGCACCTTAGTGGCAAGGGACTGTGAAGCCCCCCCCCCCCACTCCTCAAGTAATGTCTTTGCGTCGAGTATTGCAGAATTCTTGCTTATGTAAGCAGCTCATGGTCCCATTCGCCGAAAGTAACATGAAAAATAAGCTAAAAATAAGTTATCAAGGATCCCATTTCCAGTAGTCGTAAAAAAGTGGGTCAAAATCTATTAAAATCTTTATCTACTTAAATCTTATTTCGCTCTAATATCTTAAAAAAATGTAATCCTTTACAAAAATTCCGTAAGGAAAGGGTAATTTACTCTGTACTGAGGTCCGAAAAGCTCTGTATTCATGGAAAACAAGACACGTGATGCGCGATGACCGACCCCTCCTATTGACTCGGCGCTCTCACATTGGAGTCTTTCGCCTTTTGCTTGCTTTTATTTATTACTAATATAAAGTAAGGCTTATATTACTACGGAAAAGTATTTAGGCAGTACGGTAAATTCATAATATTTTTAAAACTGCGCATCGTTGAAATTAAACAAAGACAAGCGGTTGTTTCGTCGGTAACACCGTACCGCGCCGCCGCGCGCATCCCGGGCAGGCAGCGCAGCGCGCGGATCTGCCTCAGAACGGCCGGCTCCCCGTCCCCCGATGGTTTTTCCCGTTTTCACGCCTAAAATATCGATCCCACGGAAAAATTCATAAGAACCAGTTTTGTTCCTAATACAATTTCCCATCGTTCTGTTGTAAAAAAATTACGCTAACATTAGCCGTTCCGTAGTTATTCAAAATTCAAAATTTGGGGGCCCCCCTGCCCCCCCAGGGGGCTCAGATTTTTGGGGTCTATGTCTAAATCGAATGTCTATAAGGTAGAGATGAATCCCTGAAATTTTCATGCTTTCTTCCAGAAGTGCACGATTGTTATGATATTTTCCACTTATCGGCCAATGTGTTTGGTGCTATTATTCAAACGGGCCCAATTCTCATCTCGCTTGGTTGTTTGTGCCGATGCACGATGGTCAAAGCCCCATCACAAGGTGAAAAATCAAAAATATAAAAAAAAATAGAGCTTGTTCCTAAGATGGAGTTTTTGCGCACACTGAATGAACTACTGTCATTTAAAACGTGCTACATACAATTCAGCTAATTTTCTTTTCTTGATTAAAATATGTATCGATAGTCTTAAATATGGATAATGTGCATTGCCTCTCTGGGCGATGCTCAAGTAGTTGTAGTCGATAACCTCCATGACGAGGCGTGAATGATCGATTATTATCGATAATTCCTCTTTTGAAGCTATGGTAATGAATCGATTATTAAGATGCTCGTTGCGAACACCCTGCTGAATGATTATTTTCCATAAATTTAAATGACAGATCAATCGACCAGTCAGTGGCGTGGCGTGCTTTGCGATGTATCGATTGTTATGCCATTTAAATCTATGGTAAAGGATCGATAAACAAGGTGCTCGCAGCGAACGCCTTAATAAATCGATTCTTTACCGTAGGTTTAAATGGCATAATAATCGATACATCGCAATTCACGCCACGCTACTGCGATCAATCGATGTATCGCGCAAATCTCGCCACGCCACTGTCGTTTGAATATATTTTAATGGTGATATAAAGGAAATCTGCTTTAGTGGAGTCACCTGAGTGTGAGCCTCTAATATATCAACCAACGACAGGTCCTCTTTCGGGTCAGAGAGACTTTCTAACGTTGGCAGGGCCAGTTTCGCATACTTCTTCACTTTGACGTCATTCACATCCTGAGAATGCAAACCACCAGGCATGAACTTCTTCTGAAATCAGAGAAACGGTTTTAACTTAACCGGATGATATGGAGATTAGATACAGGGAAGTGAACATCAGTGGCGTGGTGTGCTTTGCGATCTATCGATATTTCCCCATTTGAGGCTGTGGTAAATAATCGATTATTAAGGTGTCCGCTGCGAACACCCTGTATATCGATACTTTTCCATAGGTTTAAATGGCCGATCAATCGATGTATCGCAAAGCACGCCACGCCACTGATGGACATCTTGGATTATTATGGCCCGTGATCACAAAGATCGTACCAGAGTTGCTTTGTTGATCGAAGAAACTACATAATGTTTACAATGATGCATTTACTAGGGTCGTCCAGAAAATAAGTTTACCTGTTCAATATCTACTAAACTAAGATAGACAGAGAATAGGTATTTGTAAGAAGTGTTAAGAAGCTATTACTCTCGGCTCTCTAAAGCGCTACAGATTTTAGACTTCTTACAGTTCTCGCTGAACTTGATTGATTTCATTTTTTAAGAAGTATGAAATGAGTATGTTCATAAGTTTATGAGTAAGTACCTAATGTAATTTGTCATAGTTCTTAATCGATAATTAAGTCAAGATACGGCTCTTCAGTCGATACATCATCTTTTTTAGCTGTAGCGACGAACACAACAAAGCAAAGACAGTGTTAAAATGACCCTAATGTACAACTATTCGTGTTCGAGTGATGTCCGTATTGCATACTCGGAAAAATGAAGGCTTTTGGATTTTGCCGTTTAACAACGAAACACTGGCGCGGTATGAAGCACCAGCTACAAATGCGTAGGTATTACAGAACCACTGTGATCTTGTCCTAGAGGTGTTATGATCACTTTCGAGAGAAAGTATCTAAATTTTGGTCAAAAAATTGAAACGCCTGATCAGCAAAATTCTGGGTTTGGCAGTCTGCCACCATTCAATTCGCAGGCAGTCGCGCACTTTTTTTGGTAGGTAAAAAAAAAGTTCGTCGTTACTCAAGTCGTCTGTACCGACTAAATTTTTGGGGAGGGAGAGAAGAAGCAAATTTTCATCATATCTGCTGTTTCCAAGTATGCAGTGATCGCGACAAGATGCGATTTGATCGGAAAATGTACCGCGATTTTATTAGACGTCAATTTATTGAAATATTATTTGATCAAAAATTGCAATAAATTGCGATTTTATCGCACATAAATTTGCAATAATGTGGCGATTTTATCGAACAAAATTGGGATTAATTGACTTAAAATTTCTGTATCATCGAATGCGATTTTATAGAGATAAAAGTGCGACAAGATCGAGAATAATCGCTCAGATGTCGATGATCCTGGCGACTTCATCGCCAAAATGTGTAATGAAATAGCAATTTAATTTCAAACTATCACGATTTTTCCGTTGAAAAATGCTACTTGGGTTATACAACGAGAAATCTGACTCATTGTCAGAATGGCATGAAACGAAAGGAATTTGTGAAAATTGCATTGAAATATTTCATGTTTGATTAAACCTAATAAAGCGCCCCCTCCCCTGCCCTCCCTGGTAAAAATTGGCAGTAGAATCTGTGTTCCAAAATACCATAGACCTACAGCCGACTGTAAGATTTCCAATAGCTTCTATAGCCGGCAACACAATTTCTTATAGCCTTTTATAGCCGATGGCGAATTAAGCAACAGCCTGGCGATAAAGTGTATAATAAACGTCACTAATTACGGATGCTAGGATTTAGTGAGTTTTTGGACTACCGCTCTCTTTTTGGGCCACAGTATCTTGATTTAATTTGCGAGGAAAGCTCTGTACTTTTGAAGGATGCCTGCCATTCCTAATATGTTGGAGCGCCTTCAATTTCGTATGATACTGTGCAATACCTCTGGTGTGAAATAGTTGCTTCAAGCGCCGCGGCAGGCGAGCAGCCAGCGCTGAACGCGCATTGGCGCCTACAAACCTAGCAGGGATACTTCACGCATTGCGCAATGCGTGAAGTATCCCTGTTAGGTTTGCAGGCGCCAGTGCGCCGCCACACCGCTTTGTGTTAGGCGCTAATATTTAATCTCGCGGAGTCAGCGTTTTTCAACTCATGACTTTGAAATGTTTACACACTCTGTATGGATTATTCTCATTTTAATTGATGAAAAAAAATAAGTAGTAAAGGAAAATATATTGTGCGTTTTGTAAATATTAAGGTGATTCCGTACAAACTTAAGGATTTACAAAGTACAAGAATTTCTACACAATTTCCCATAGCCTTTTATAGCCGATGGCGATAAAGCAACAGCCAGGCGATAAAGTGTAAAGCCCGGCGATAGGAACTATAGCCCGGCTGTATAATTTTTTATCGCTTCGTGTAGCCCGGCCGTATGATTTTTTCCACTTTCTACAGCCAGCTATATGATTTTCTATCGCCCTCTTCAGGCGGCTGAAGACATCCTATGGTATTTTGAAACGCAGCTCCTATCGCTAATTTTTACCAGGGCCGCCCTCTTGAAACTACTTAAGTGAGGCGGTTCGATATTTTCAATTGGTCCATATCGATGGCTAAAGTGCACGTACCTCCGTTTGCAATGTTATTGCAGACTTTCGGTCAACTTTTTTTAGGGGGGGGGGGCTGGTTAAGTGGTCAACTTACTTTCTTGAAAACATTTGTTCTTTTTTTCTACTCTATTAGCAGAGTATCCCGTAGATATTTCATACTTGACTTGTTTCTCTTGAGAGTCCACCTCTACATCAAGACAAACTCTCCATGCAAAGATAGGGAGCAAATACATTGACAGGGCTGCCACTTTATTTGGGGACTCTAAAACTGAAAACACGGCAACCCTGCTAATGTATTTTGCTCCCTAGCTTTGCACGGAGAGTTTGTCTCGATGTAGACGTAGACTCTCAGGATAGCGTGGGATATCCCCTCCATTTTGGCCCTAACTTGAGAGCTTTTTTTGAGCTTGGGAGTTGATTTCAGAGAAAACCAGTGCTCCATCGTGTTTCTCGCTAACTTTTACGTAAGAATCAACAGTCAAATCGCAAATTCCTCACACATGCAACATATTGCAACATCTCCATGAAAAGAAAAAAATGAAGAAACGCAGGAACAGGTTGCTATTTGTTTCCAAGAAATATAAATTCATTTCATCACCCATCCCCCTGTTATGACGCATTCCGCGTTTCACTTTCAATTTGCAACGAGGAAGTTACCTTGTACTACTTCTATACCTTAAACGGACTGTGTAGTAATTGATTTACTCTGGATAAAAATTACACTGACATCAACACATTTAAAAACTATTGCGTAACGGGCTTTGAACATACGCATACCTATGCATTAGGTGATTTCTACAGAAAATTTGGCTACACTGGGGCTCGATGTTTTCCTCAAATAAGTCTTTTCCCCTGCAATTGTACCTTAGGCCTTTACATTTTTGTCAATCGCGATAAAGGGGAAACCCGTAATCAATAATTATTATCCGTAAAAGTGTATACAGCGCAATACAGCGACCACCGTTTTTTATCCTAATTAAAGTTGTAATCAAAGAGACTTCGGACTCTTTCGGCTACACTGAACCGATCCCAGGAACTTAGTGACGTCCAGTAATCTTCCAATGTTACGTTCAAAAGCGTGATGGATTTTCCCGAATTGGCACCTCAGCTTCTGACGTCACTGGTTGGCGCAGATAAGAGAGTCTAGCCGCGAAGGAGCGGTAATATCAACCAAGAAAACGCAATAATTCGTCGAAATTTAGGCTCATTTTCATAATATAACGACTCATCGCTCATTTCCGCGGATAAGCCACTCCATGGGAAACATTTAATGTTGATTGAAGGGCATGAGGGTGACGGAAAACGATGGTGAAATTCCAAAACCACGTATCTTGCTTACTTGAAGTTGCAGACTTTCTGTCATATACTTCATCTTTTAAATAGAAAAATACCCACTCGACGTCAATTCTGAAAAACTTCTTAGATTTGTCTTTTCTGTGCGATAGTCCAGTCAACGAAGGGAAAATAAGGGCTTTTAGTGGAACAAACTAGAAAAAAGCTGAATTTTTTACCATCGATTATATACTTCAAAAGTAGGTAATGTTTTCCAAAAAGTACGATTTATTAAAAGTTACGAAAAGTCCAGCGATTTAAAAAGTACTTGAAATAAATGTTGTAGAGGATGCTTTTTTCAAGTTTGTTCCACTAATATCCCTTCGTTGACTGGACTACGAACTGAATGCCGGAAAAACTTCAAGGGACGATGTTGATAAGTAATTTTTCAAAAAATAAAACAGGAACGGAGATTTTGAAACACCGCATGCAAACGATACAGGTGGGCTGCCGTGCTTAGGAAAAACGCCGTATGAACCTTCAGGCGTTGCAAAATTTCCTTGGACAAATCACTATTCTTAGGAACATTTTTGTGAACATTTTTCTTCCAATTTCTCAGATAAGTTTGTTTGTAATTTGATCTAAAGTGTCTGAAGATTTAAAGGAAAAATATTCATAAGTCTCCTCATAAATAAACATTTTATTGGAGGAAATTTGGCAACTCCCGAATGTTCATACGACGTTTTTCCATAGTGCGCAGTGCTGCCGTGCTAAGGAAGAACGCCGTATGAACATTCGAAAGTTGCCAAATTTCCTTTAATAAAATGTTCATTTTTCGGGAATGTTATGAATATTTTTCTTTGAAATTTTCAGGAACTTTAGGTGGAATTGCGACAAATATAATCTGGGAAACTGGAAGGAAAATATTCATAACTTTACCAGGAAATTAGTGTTTTATCGAAGGAAATTTCACAACGCCTGACGGTTCATACGGCGTTTTTTCTTGGCATGGCAGAGTGGATCGAGTCAATAGGAGAGGTCGGACAAAATTTGGAAACTTTAAAAGCTTATAACTTCGTTTATACAAAACTTTGAGTTTCTAAAAAGTGGTTTCATTGGTTTCCCCGTGATGTTTTCCTCCAAAACCACCCCTTGAACTTTGAAATGTAACATAATAAACATCAAAATTTGCAGTTTTAGCCAAAAATTTCATGTCCGACCTCTCTAATTGACTCGATCCACTGTGCAATTAATGGCTTCAGTCGAAAAATTCGTTCTCTAGTTCCAACGTTGCAAATTTTCACTGTTGCTTCATTTTTTGAGAGAAAATTAACTAATAGGTTCTCTTGAAAATATCTGTGAACTGCTTTCACTCACTCAAATTTATTTACAGAAAATATGAGAAGATTTTGGTGATTTTTCTTTAAAAAAAAATAAATAATATCGAGGGCTAACCCTAACGAACAATACTGCCTTGCATAGGAAAAACGCCGTATGAACCTTCAGGCGTTGCCAAATTTCCTTTGGTAAAGTACGAATTTACTGTGGAAGTTGAGAATATTTGTCTTCCAATTTTTCAGACAATATTGTTCACATTTCAATCCAACACATCTAAAAATTTCAAGGAAAAATATGCATAACTTGCTTCCAAAATTAACATTATATCGGAGGAAATTTGGCAACTCTCGAATGCTCTCGAGTCTGCAGCATCGAAAACGTGGTTCGCACTTTGAGCACCGCTGTGAGACTGGTCGGTTCCCTTCAATTTTGTCGGACTCACGCGTTTAAAGACTCAAAAAATAGATCTAATAATTTTTTTTTTAATTTTTTTATCATATTTTGCTAAAAGTTTACGAATAAAAATCGCAATCATTTTATGGTCTAACTTAAAGACAGCATTAACAGTAATTCATGGACACTTTTATACTTAGTTAAAAGTGTGAAAAAATGAGGATCAGTATGACTTACTGGCGCAGCAGAGACCGACAGTAGGAAACTGACGACACAAAATATTTTCAAGGTTGTGAGATCCATGTCACAGAAATTTATCAAATGCCCACACGGGTTCTCATTCACGACTAATGGTCTCTGATACACAACCTCGCACTTGCACTGATTTGATAGTAAAATGTATCCACAAACACACTTAATTGATAAAAACTCAACGGATATCATGGAGGGGGGGGGGAGAGTGGGGATATCTCATCAATCTCTTCGGTGTGTTTCTTGAATCGACAACGACGCGATGCTGTCAATTTTCTCATTTGAAAGTGTTTCCACGATGGTGTTATTCTTTGCGGTACCTTCCACCTCTCTCTCCCCTTCGCCTTCGAGGCCTCCTTAACTTTAGTGGATACAAAAAAATTAAAATAAAAAAATAATGTAGAATGGACCACTAGACAAGGTGCGAATTTAAGCATTCTGATACACGTTTTTTAACCAGAATTTCACGTAGAACACGATTCGCGCAACGAAAACTAATGAAATCAACTCCAAAAGAAGATATTAACGTTTTTATTTCACATTGGTTACGAGGAATTTGAACTGCCCGCTCACAGGAAACTCAAAGCTCTACGCGAGTCAAATCGCGCACTACAACCAAACGAGCAATAATGTTCATTTCCCACCATGTGTTGTTCAAACTATAAGCAATCTGCTATAGCTGAGCCAAAGCGTCAAAATTGAGGTTGCCAGATTTTTGAATTGCAGATACTGCCATGATAACGTTTAGCGCGCGATGCGAATCACGTAGAGCATCGAGTTTTCATGAGCGGGTGGTTTGAATTTACGCATCAAGAATCATTAAATATCTTCGTAAGGAGTTGATTTCGGTAATTTCGTTCCGCGCATCGTGTTTTACGTGAAATTTTGGTTAAGGAACATGTATCAGAATGCTGAAATTCGTACCTAGTCAAGTGGTCCATTAAGGGGCTTGGAAGAAAAGTGGGATGAATGCAGTTTTTGCCATTCCGATTCACTGCTAAACACAGAGGAGTGGAATTCGGTTCCGGAGTCTATAATTCGTAACAACAATAATGGACATGAATCAATGATGGGGATCGATGATTTCTTCAAAAACGCATTCGACTGGGACGTCAGTCCCATCGGGTAGAGTAAAGAGGCAATCGTTGATCTCCCTCTGCGCTTTGACTCGCTGAAGTAGCAAAAGTTCATCTTTCCTTCACAAGAAGATTATCGGTGGCGTAGGGGTCTAAAAACTGCTCAACAATAGTATAGTTCGAGTTCCGAGTCGCTATTAGCCCACTTGTGTTTTTTTCTCACAGTTTCATTGCATACAAATTTCTCTGATGTCTTGGTTTTATACTCTCTTATTGCATAAGTATTTATATCATCATTTCCTTTCCTTTCCCTTTCATTTTTTCCTTTTTTGTAGCATCCCCCTTGTAGCATTCCCCTAGAGTCGGACTGGGCACCTGCCATTGGCAGATACGCCCCCCTGACGCATCGAAGACACGCCCCTCTGCCACATATGAAAATATAGAAAAGTAAAGATAAGATGCTATATGTATAGAAAAATAAAGACGAGAGAAAATATTATGACAGAGAAAAAGTGCTAAAAATTCATAAATGAACGGAAGAAGAGAGAGTAAGAGTAAAGAAAGGTCCTCGTACGCATATATGATAGTGGTGAATGGAGGTCCTGGAGCGAGTAACCGAAAATAAGTCCCTAGAGGCGCCCGGGCCTACAAAAATGCTGGAAAATTGGCCACTCTCCACCGTAAAATAAGCTTTGAGGCATTGAAAATTTTCCTCGATCATAGTTTTCGAAAAGGGGATGATGAGCGTCATGAAGTGAGGAAATCAAACTAGCTCTCGAACTTTTGTCAAAAGTCAAAATACCTATACATAAAATTTCCAAGATCAGTAAAAAATGATTTCCTTCGAAATTTTCACCTTTTTGGTAACATAGAGACGTTTTATCAACCCCCTCCCTCATCCGCTGTAAGTCACTCTCTCGGAAGAGGTAGCACAGTAAATTTTTAGACGTGCGCCCTTTAGATCGCTTTGAGAGGCCTCTAACATTTTTTTTCTTTTCAAAATGATAATTGATTAGGGCACATCCTATTTTCGGCTGTATTGCTCACGTAGCCCTTGAAGCACCCCTACAAATGAGACAAACGAAACTAACACAACATGAAAATAGAGCAAATGGAGAGACGGCGCAGAGATACAAATATTCGTGCTTGATGGATGTCTGTGTTGCATCTGCAAAATTGAAGGCGCGATGCCGCGAGGCGTAGATTTACGATGTTCCGCAGCTCCGCTGTATGCTGCCAATGGGGTATCGTGAACAACGTTAAGGAACGAGCCTTTCATGAACCCGAAAATGATGCATCTGTTTCTGACTTTTACTTGTTAAAAGCAGTATTACATGTAGGTTGTAAGCTCTGGATCGATTCCTCTGGAAAGAATAATGCATGGGTAGGTCTGGTACCTAATTTTGATTTTAATTTTTTTTTTTTCATTTCACAAGTGGGAGATCGCACGGGACGGGACCCGACTAATTGCTGGAGTGTGGCGCGCCTTCAATCCGGCTGGCAGCAACATGCTTACACCCGTGGTCGAATAGTCGTATCACTGCGCCTGCCGTGAATGAGTACAAATATCCATTCCTGCACGCGTAAGAGAGCATATTTAGCTCCGACTGCAACATTGCAGACTAATGTCTTATTTTTAATCATTCTTGTTACGAAAGGCAAATACAGTTTGTCTAAAGAATTTCCGCTGATTTTCTTCAGTCGCCGGATATTTTGACGCAATATTTTCGCTCGCTTCATACCTCATTTTAAAAAAATGAATTTAATCAACCCGATCCGAGATTCTGAATCGTTATAATTCAGGGATACACTTTCACTCAAATTGTGGTAAAAACGGGACAGAGAGTCAAGGATTACGACGTGCAGTCCTCCCTTTGCGGCGATTTTAGCGGCGCGCCAGCCAGGGAGATCGCACGGGACGGGACCCGAGTAATTGCTGGAGTGTGGCGCGCCTTCAAATTGGCTTGCAGCAACATGCTTACACCCGTGGTCGAATAGTCGTATCATTGCGCCTAACGTGAATGAGTTCAAATATCCATTCCTGCACGCGTAAGAGAGCGTATTTAGCTCCGACTGCAACGTTGCAGACCTCAACTAATGTCTTACTTTTAATCATTCATGTTACGAAAGGCAAATACAGTTTTTCTAAAGAATTTCCGCGGATTTTCTTCAGTCGGCGGATATTTTGACGCAGTAATTTCGCTCGTTTCATACCTCATTTAAAAAAAAAGAATTTAATAAACCCGATCCGAGATTCTGAATCGTTACAATTCAGGGATACACTTGCACTCAAATTGTGGAAAAAACGGGACAGTGAGTCAAGGATAATGACGTGCAGTCCTCCCTTTGCGGCGATTTTAGCGGCGCACCAGCCAGGGAGATCGCACGGGACGGGACCCGAGTAATTGCTGGAGTGTTGTGCGCCTTCAAATTGGCTGGCAGCAACATGCTCACACCCGTGGTCGAATAGTCGTATCACTGCGCCTGCCGTGAATGAGTTCAAATATCCATCCCTGCACGCGTAAGAGAGCGTATTTAGCTCCGACTGCAACGTTGCAGACCTCAATTAATGTCTTATTTTTCATCATTCTTGTTACGAAAGGCAAATACAGTTTTTCTAAAGAATTTCCGCGGATTTTCTTCAAACGCCGGAAATTTTGCCGCAATATTTTCGCTCGCTTCATACCTCATTTTAAAAAAATGAATTTAATAAACCCGATCCGAGATTCTGAATCGTTACAATTCAGGGATACACTTTCACTCAAATTGCGGTAAAACCGGGACAGAGAGTGTTGAACTGTTGAAGTCATCACATCTGATTTTTTTCAGAAACTGCACTAATCCATTTTGACATCCGAACTCCTGAATTGGACATCATTTTTTGGGGTTACGATTTCTAGTTTATCCTCAGAATCACCTATCCGCATAGGGAAACTAAAGGCACATACGTTGTTTATGGAAACGGGGAAATGGCTCAGAATGTTGCTCAGTGGCAACATTTTCAGAACAGCGCCTTCGTGTTGAGCACGGGTCGAAAAATTGAATTTTGATATTTCGACAGAACTCTCTGTAAAGCCATGTAGAATTAATTGCGACGAGTGTCATAGTTGATTTTTCTGCAAACAAGGAATCTGGGTATATAGTTGCGCATCGAAATCCGACGATTTTGCACCCTGCGGTAGGGCAGATTAAAATTTAGAGGGGGCTTTTTCTCAAAATTACGTTTTTTAAACCAAAAAATTCGAACTGCCAGAGGTGCTGTTTGATTTGGCGTATATTTGGACTACATTTTGTGATTAGGAACTATACATTCCGGCCCGGTTTTAAAACAACGTATGTGCAATTAGTTTCCCTGTGCACGCAAGTGTTTGTTCAGATGAGCCAGAATATACAGTTACAAATCGCAAAATTCAGTCCATTTATCGTATTGTCGTTATTTATCTCAAAATATCTAAATAACACTCGTCTACCCAAGTAGCACTTTCGTGCAGATTGCAAAACATTGCGATGACGAAGTAAAAGTATTCTGCCGGGCTAGGGAAGAACGTCGTATGAACATTCGAGAGCTGCCAAATTTACTTCCATAAAATGTTTATTTTTGAGAAAAGTTAGGTATGAATAATTTTCCTTTAAAGTTTCAGAATCTTTAGGTGAAATTGTGAACAAAATTATCTGAAAAATTGGGAGGAAAATATTTATGAGTTTACCAGAAAATTCGCGTTTTATGAAAGGAAATTTGGCAACGCCTGAAGGTTCATACGGCGTTTTTCCTTAACACGGCAGTAGGTATTGGTGGTGTGTCGGAGTGTTGTGTATGTGACCTATCTACTGATTGAAGGGGTACCTCTTATTCTACTTTTCAGAGTTTCCACTATTTCTTTATTTTCCGATTTCCTGCGACTTTCCCTGACTAGTCTCCGACTTTTTTCTCTATTAATTCTGACTTCTGCTAAATGCTGATCGCGGAAATCCCAGACCTACAAAGTCCCCGAATTTTGCAAGTTGCTGTAAATTTTCTGACTTTCCCTGACTTTTCTGGATTTCTGTAAATTACTTGACGTTCCAGATTGTGTTTGAAGATCTTGTTCCTGCAACAAAAGTGAAAGAAGTTGCTATTTATCTCTGTACGGCATATTGCCTATCTTTCACAATACATGGAACACGTCCTGATGAGCGGTATTAATGAACCAAATTAATGTCCGAGTGTGGTTAGAAATTGCAATTTTAGTTCACTTAATCGCAACTTTACTACAATATATTCGATGCCAGTGCTACTTGGGTGGTAGCAAAAGTTCAACATTTTGGTTTTCTGTACTAAAATTGGCATTATTCTCACCATTATCGTGTAAAGCTACAAAACAAAGACTGAAAGAAGGAAAACAGACAAATATAGCAATCAATGAAAATATATTCGAACAAAAATAAAAGTTTTATAATTTTGGAACAAGCTTGATAAAATTAGAAACGTAACATGTAATTATATAAAATTCATTTTAAAAGAGTAACAAAGTGAATAAGGAGATTCAATCCGAGAATCATAAATGAAACGTTAAATAAGAAGAAAAATAAAAAACTATTAAACTATTCAGTTATGATTCTTAGATTTAAGCTTCTTAGTTTTATTCTTTGGCCATATAACTTTTCATTTGATTTTCACTTCGAATCTTCTTATTTTTATTTCTTTACTCATTTAATTACACATTCCTGCAAAATATTTTTTATGTCTTGTTGTCTGAGGTTTTTTTTTTTTTTTTAATAAATTGATTCCTACTTTCAAAATATTGCGATTTTTGTTTTCTTTGACAATTTTTCACCATATTTTAGAGTCATGTTCACAGACTGCAAAGCAAACTAAAATAAATTTCCTAAATTTAACTTAGGGCCCAAATTTTGTTAGCTGACTTCGAGAGGTTTGTCTCCAGTTCCCAAGCAGCAAAGATCGAAATTGCAGTGCATGGTAAACTTATTAGCACTGCATTGGAAAGATGTGTATGTTGCCTATCTACTAATTAAAGGGGCACCTGGTATAGTAATTCAATTCAATAAAATTGAAGAAGTCACAATTCTTTTCTGACACAAGGAACTCAGGTTTTTAAGTGCTCATGAACGGCATTCACTGACCAAATGATGAAAAAATTTTGTAATTTTATGGTAAAAAATAGCAATTTTATAGTATTAAATTGCAATTTTATTTCAAAACTTTCAATGCACTGTGCTACTTGGGATACTAGTGAGCCCCCTGACTGATTCTTCTGATTTCGCACAGTCATGCAGTCAAGGCAGCAGATCCTATTTTCGCAAACATCACTGTACATTTTTGAAAGCAATAAGTAGGCATAATGATGTATGTATTGTACCAGCTCATTTTATTCCTGACCGCTATAATGATTCTAGGCATGCAAATAGCACGAACGTTGGAATTTTGAACATTTTTTGAAAAGAATTTCTTAGAGTAATATCAAATACTCAGCGATTCAATTGGTAAATGCACTTCTGTCAGAAATAAAGCTTCTCTCCAAAAATGCACTCTAAATCGTTTCTCAGGGAGGCAGAAAAGCTCCTGTAGTCCGAATATTGAAACTATGTCAGCATGACAAGACAAGACAAAACCTTAACTTAACGGAGCAATATATCGCATTTTAATGTCTCATCGTGTTGCGTTAAAATTTGAGTAATCGGCCTTGTGCTTAAAGAGGCCTTTTCATAGTGTTAAAGAGTTCGCTTGGAAAAAATGATAGAATTGCATCAACTTATTCACATTTTTAAATTAAATGCTTTTTGGTTGCAAGAAAGATGAGTTCGAAATAGGGTTCAAGCGAATTTCCTAGTGCTTGACCCGTACTGTGCTTTCTTAAGTACTTCTCCTACACATATATTCGAGTTCAGGAAGCCATGATTGAAGTATTTGACCAGCTTAGAAATTATGAAACCATCTTGTGCAACAATAATAAGAGAGAAAAAAAAATTCTTAAAACCGTGAGTTTAAGAATTTCAGCAGAGCCACAGCAGAAATCATTGACGAGGGTAAAAAAAACCCCTTTCAGAACTTCTTTCTAGAAAATTGTACCCAGAGTTGCTAGTGATCTAAGAGCTCCCTGTTTTATAAAGATGTAAAGCACAAAAGCCACATCGAGCCATAATTTGATGTCAGCATGCAGAGAAGATCTATTTACCGAAATATAGTAACAATTTTTTTAGGTCTTTTGTAGATAGATCTGTACCGACCAGTGATGTTCAATATTAATTACACAGATGAGGAGGATACTGTATGGTGTTTACAAAAATGTATGGTGACGCATACAGATGGCTTCTTGAACCATTGCTAGAATGAGAAGAAGAGTGATCATTTCTTTTCTACGAGTCTCTGTAATCTGTCAGTTAATCGACTTAAAAAGGTGTGTTGTCCTGGCAAATTACCGTATGTTGAATACTTGAATTACCATGTTTAGTACATGTATTAGGTGGAACGTTATTGCTTACACATAAAACATGTACTTAATGCTCTGAAAAAAAATTAGGTTCATACCCATTCCCCTCGTAACCACCATAAAATGTTCAGATTCAACAAGCTTTTCATTTAAAGGCCATACAATAAAATTGCAAAACATTTGGGGATTATTGAATCCTGCTTTTAATGAAAATACTCTGGTGACCATAACAAGTAAAATCCATCCAATAAATAGATTGAAAAATTGAAATTTTCAGAAGAAATCGCGAGTCTATCCTAAAATCAACAATCAAATAACCCAAAACCTAAATCCATATTATCAAGTTCTTCTTGTGAATAAACAGGGGTTTGAGAATAATAACATGGGTTCGTCTGCAACAAAAGTTCTCTATCCTTGGACTTCTTAATTTTTGAAAATTCACTGCCTGCAAATGGGTGCCCATTATTACCAATATAATCCAATAGGGTTTGTCCGTAATAATCCTGAGCATTCGTCACAGAGAAAAATTCATCAAATTCCATTTCACGTAATCTGTTCAACAGTTCCTCCGCATTTTCTTCCACAGCTTTGAATAATTCTTCTACTAAGATTAGAATGCTGGTGACATCCTCCTTCCTTGAGAGATCGGAGGGTTTTTTATTTTCTATGTTCCTAGCATTATACATAGCTCCATGTTTCAGAAGAGCCTTTGTCATCTCTACAGATCCATTCTGAGCAGCAATATGAAGAGCTGTAGTTCCATTTTCTCCCTTAGCATTAACAAAAACATTTGAACTGCCATTCTTCTTGGCATGTTTGAAGATAGTATCTGTTAACTCCGCATCACCCTGCGCAGCAGCTAAATGAAGGAGTGTGCTACCTGAATTGGTCACTTGAGCTACATTTGCACCATTTTCTAAAAGTAATGATGTTATGTCTTTAAAGTCATTACTTACAGCAAAGTATAAAGGACTGCAAGCATTACTGTCGACAGCATTTACGATACCATAATTATTTTTTAAAAGTTCACTGACAAGGTCTTTTTTCCCTTTTTTCACAGCTTCAAAAAGTTGGCCTACCATTGTCAAAATTTCTCTGATGGAGTTACACTCCGCTAGATCCAAGGGTGTCTTACCCTCGTTTGTCTTAGCTTCATATGCTGCCCCGCACTGAAGGAGAAGAGTTACGCTCTCTGGGTCATCTCCTTTCGCAGCATAATGCAAAGGTGTCCAGTTATTCTTACAGCAAGGATTCACATTAATTTTTTCCAAAATACGAGAGATGTGAGGATCACCACTTCTTGGAGCTCCTTTACCTCTGTTGAACAGTCCAGGGAAAGTTAGGTAAGGGCTTCTTGGGGTAATTTTTTCTTGTAAAAGAAATCGTAGTATTTTTTTATTATTTTGCTTCACAGCATGATGTAGAAGAGTAAGTTGACTATCTTTTTGTTTCTGGTTGATAACTTCAGCTATTTTAATTAAGTCTTTTATTTCTATGATGCCCTGGTTATCAATAATTGCGGTAAAAATTTGATCAACTGCGCGCAGCTTCCTGGTGAGAAAAGAATTTACGGAACCAGGATGTAGATTCATCTCTTTGGGTGTCATGCTCAATTTGTTACGTACATTGAGTTTAGCTCCATTATCCAATAATACAGTTGCAACTTGAAGATTAGAGGATATTCCACAAAGGTGTAAAGGAGTATTGCCGTAGTTATCGACGGTATCAATATCAATACCGTTTTGCACAAAAAACTCGGCCACGCCTCCTACACCCTTAAATCGGGAGGACATTATAACGTCTGCTTCAGCTGCAGTGTGTAGAACAGTTTTGCCATCCTTCGTAACTGCCTTTAGTTCTGCCCCGTTTTCTAGGAGCAGTTTTGCTACGGCTGTGTTTCGAGCAGTATGTAATGGTGTGTAACCCTCATTGTTAGCTGCATTGACATTTGCACCTTTCTCAATGAGAACTTTCGCTACAAGAAAATTCTGCTCAAAATGTAGAGGTGTATCCCCTGATTCGTTTGAGGCATTAACTTCTGCCCCATGTTGTATGAGGCATTTTGCAATGGATGGGGTCTTCGCTGAGTGCAAAGGTGTATTTACTAACTTGTCCTTTGCATTGACATTTGCGCCTTTATCAATGAGGAGTTGGACTGTAGATAAATGTCTGGCCAAGTGTAAAGCAGTTCTCATTTGATCCCACTCATCTCCATGGTAGTCAATACAGCTGTTAACATCAGTTCCCATTTCTATGAGAAAATTGGCTGCCTTTAAATCATATCCACCATAACCCTCGCGCATAGCCCAATAGAGGGGAGTACCACCACGTTCATTGTTAAGAGTAGCTCCCTTTTCTATGAGGTATCTCATCACAGCAAAACTACCATGGTGTTTTACAAGTAAACATAGAGGTGTCCTTCCATCGTACTCAGTAGCATTGACATCCGCTCCATTCTCAACTAAAAATCTTATTAGTGTATCATCGGTGTCTCTGGCAGCATAGTGTAATAAAGTTCCTCCTCTGCCTCTAGCAAAGTGAACAAGCGGGTCATATGCATTTACATCCGAGCCCACAGAAATTAGAATCTTTGCAACTTCTAGTTTTTTACATTCAATAGCGTATTGAAGAGGTGTGGCATAGTGATAATTTTCACTTCTTGCATGGATATCAGCACCATTTTCTATGAGAAGTTCAGCTATTTCTGTATGCCCATGTATTGCAGCTATGTGCAAAGGCGTTTTACCATTCTTTGTTTTACATTGGATATTTGCTCCTTTCTTGATCAAGTAATCAACAACATCTAGTCTTCCTTCATCTACAGCACGATGTAAAGGATTTAATCCGCCTTCATCCGTAATTTCAATATCACCAACTCTGTCAATGATTAACTTGGATATGTTTGTATTCTTCTCCTTCAGAGCACGCTCTAAAGGTGTTTGATTAAAATGGCGAGTTTTAACATCCACTCTCTCGTCTTTCAGCAAGATTTGCACACATTCCTCTTGATTGTTTTCTATTGCAATCCAGAGTGATGTGCAGCCATTGTCATCAACAGCATTCACATCAGGTTCCTTTTCCAGTAAATTGGATAGAATTTCCGTTTGACTATACTCGGAGGCAATGTGTATTGGGGCTTTACCATTGAAATATGTGTTAATAAAATGTGAGCAGCGATCGTCAGCTAACAGAACTTTTACAATGTCGGTATGACCTTTTTCACATGCTATGTGTAAAGGTGTTTTACCATGGTGAAGCATATTTACATCTAAATTTGGTTGTTTCAATAGTTGTTTAACCAATGCAACGTTACCATCCTCAGCTGCTATGAAAAGAGGTGTTTTCTCATCAGGCGTCAGTGCATTAATATTAGAATTCACTTCTATGAGCTTTTTTGTTAATTCTATAGATCCTTTTTCACCTGCAATGTGCAATGACGTTTTGCCACATGAATGGAGCTCACTTACGTTAACTATCTTATTCTGCATAATGGTGCTCAGTGAAGATATGTCATTGCTTTCTACAGCAGCAAATAAGGGAGAGTCAGAATTAGACATTATGATAAATTGCGTTTACAAGTAATACGTTGAATGCAAATTTTAGATATTAAATGTGTGAATTCTCACACAAGGGCAGAGCCTAGGAGAGTTATTTAAACCTCAAAAAGAGCTCCGATTAGAAAATGATAATTTAATGGATACAGAGGACCAATTAACACAAAATTATGAACTCTTATATCATCAGGTTACACTGATAAAACCCTGAGCTATCAGAGGCTATAAAATAAAATTGATACAGCTTAGTTTATGATGTGAGTTCAGTTGTTCTTTTTTATAAATTTTAGAACAACTAAACCTCAGAGAGAAAAAAGAAAACGATCACATTCCAGATGTGCTGGTACCTCTACAATTAATTCTGAAGCCCAATATATTGGGAATTATGCCAGAGTGAGAGTTTTCTGTTGTTTGCTCAGTTGTTCTTCTGAAACAAAATAACATTGCACTTGATAATATAATTGTGTCCTTCTATTCCTGTACGAGCACTCGGCTAAAGATCGTTGTTCTCTATGGTACGATTTTGGTTGTCAATTGGACTATATTTTGCAATTAGGACTATAATATCTGGCCCATCTGTATGAACACTCGTGTGCATAGGGAAATTATTGGTATGTTCATTGTTTACAAACTTAGCCGGCTATGGTAGTTCCAAATTGTGAGATGCAGTTCAATTTCTCAGTAGATTAAATGAACTTCGAGTTTTCTGAACGAATCATCAGTAGTTACAACAGAGAGAATAACCCACTGACATGGGTTGTTCTTTATATTCTGTAATCTGTCAGTGAATCAGTTTGTTTTGAACAATTGATGATGCGTTCAAGATAAACAAAATGCTTTTAGTTCACGAATGAATAGTAACCAAAAATCTCATCTCGGTTCATTAAATTTTTAAAAATAAAATCATGGCTTCGATGAAAAAAGTTGGCAGAAGGTGGTTGCTGGGTGAATGCAGAGGACCTTTTCCTTAATCAAATAATCCAAAACCTAAATCTATATCATCAAGTTCTTCTTGTGAATAAACAGGGGTTTGAGAATGACGACATGGGTTCGTCTGCAACAAAAGTTCTCTGTCCTTGGACTTCTTAATTTTTGAAAATTCACTGCCTGCAAATGGGTGCCCATTATTACCAATATAATCCAATAGGGTTTGTCCGTAATGATCCTGAGCATTCGTCACAGCAAAAAATTCATCACATTCCATTTCACGTAATCTGTTCAACAGTTCCTCCGCATTTTCTTCCACAGCTTTGAATAATTCTTCTACTAAGATTAGAATGCTGGTGACATCCTCCTTCCTTGAGAGATCGGAGGGTTTTTTATTTTCTTTGTTCCTAGCATTATACATAGCTCCATGTTTCAGTAGAGCCTTTGTCATCTCTACGGATCCATTCTGAGCAGCAATATGAAGAGCTGTGGATCCATTTTCTCCCCTAGCATTAACAAACACATTTGAACTGCCATTCTTCTTGGCATGTTTGAAGATAGTATCTGCTAATTCCGCATCACCCTTCGCAGCAGCTAAATGAAGTAGTGTGCTACCTGAATTCGTCACTTGAGCCACATTTGCACCATTTTCTAAAAGTAATGATGTTATGTCTTTAAAGTCATTACTTACAGAAAAGTATAAAGGACTGCAACCATTACTGTCGACAGCATTTATGATACCATAATTATTTTTTAAAAGTTCACTGACAAGGTCTTTCTTCCCTTCTTTCACAGCTTCAAAAAATTCATTTGCCAGTGTCAGAATTTCTTTGATGGAATTACACTCCGCTAGATCCAAGGGTATTTTACCCTCGTTTGTCTTAGTTTCATATGCTGCCCCGCACTGAAGGAGAAGAGTTACGCTCTCTGGGTCATCTCCTTTCGCAGCATAATGCAAAGGTGTCCAGTTATTCTTACAGCAAGGATTCACATTAATTTTTTCCAAAATACGAGAGATGTGAGGATCACCACTTCTTGGAGCTCCTTTACCTCTGTTGAACAGTCCAGGGAAAGTTAGGTAAGGGCTTCTTGGGGTGATTTTTTCTTGTAAAAGAAATCGTAGTATTTTTTTATTATTTTGCTTCACAGCATGATGTAGAAGAGTAAGTTGACTATTTTCTTGTTTAAGGTTGATAACTTCAGCTGTTTTAAGTAAGCATTTCACTTTTTCAATGCCCTCATTATCAATAATTGCGGTAAAAATTTGATCAACTGCGCGCAGCTTCCTGGTGAGAAAAGAATTTACTGAGTCAGGATATCGATTCATCTCTATGGGTCTCTTGTTCGATTTGTTATGTACATTTATTTTAGCTCCATTATCCAATAATACAGTTGCAACTTGAAGATTAGAGGATATTCCACAAAGGTGTAAAGGAGTATTGCCGAAGTTATCGACGGAATCAACATCAATACAGTTTTTCACAAAAAACTCGGCCACGCCTGCTACACCCTTAAATCGGGAGGACATTATAACGTCTGCTTCAGCTGCAGTGTGTAGAACAGTTTTGCCATCCTTCGTGACTGCCTTTAGTTCTGCCCCGTTTTCTAGGAGCAGTTTTGCTACGGCTGTATTTCGAGCAGTATGTAATGGTGTGTAACCCTCGTTGTTAGATGCATTGACATTTGCACCTTTTTCGATGAGAATTTTTGCTGTGTGAAAATTCTGCACAAAATGTAGAGGTGTATCCCCGGATTCGTTCGAGGTATTAACTTCTGCTCCATGTTGTATGAGGCATCTTGCAATGGATGGGGTCTTCACTGAGTGCAAAGGTGTATTTAGTAACTTGTCCTTTGCATTGACATTTGCGCCTTTATCAATGAGGAGTTTGACTGTAGATAAATGTCTGGCCAAGTGTAAAGCAGTTCTCATTTGATCCCACTCATCTCCATGGTAGTCAATACAGCTGTTAACATCGGTTCCCATTTCTATGAGAAAATCGGCTGCCTTTGAATCATGTCCACCAAAATCCGCGTACATTGCCCAATAGAGGGGAGTACCACCTCGAGCATTGTTGAGAGTAGCTCCCTTTTCAATAAGGTACTTCATTGTATCAAAAGAACCATCATGCTTCGCTAGCAAACACAGGGGTGTTCTTCCATCATTTTCGGTGGCATTTACATCCGCTCCATTCTCAACTAAAAATCTTATTAGTTTATCATCAGTGTCTCTCGCAGCATAGTGTAATAAAGTTCCTCCTCTGTCTCTCGCATAGTGAGCACGGGGGTCATACGCATTTACGTCCGAGCCCACAGAAATTAGAAACTTTGCAACTTCTAGATTTTCACATTTAATAGCATATTGGAGAGGTGTGGCATTGTGATAATTTTCACTTCTTGCATGGATATCAGAACCATTTTTTACGAGGAGTCCAGCTATTTCTGTATGCCCATGTTTTGCAGCGATGTGCAAAGGCGTTTTACCATTCTTTGTTTTACATTGGATATTTGCTCCTTTCTTGATTATGTAATCAACGACATCTAGCATTCCTTCATCTACAGCACGATGTAGAGGATTTAGTCCGCCTTCATCAGTAATTTCAATATCACCAACTCTGTCAATGATTAACTTGGATATGTTTGTATTCTTCTCTTTCAGAGCACGCTCTAAAGGTGCTTGATTAAAATGGCGGGTTTTAACATCGACTCGCTCATCTTTGAGCAGGATTTGCACACATTCCTCTTGATTGTTTTCTATCGCAATCCAGAGTGATGTGCAGCCATTGTCATCAATAGCATTCACATCAGGTTCCTTCTCCAGTAGATTGGATAGGATTTCTGTTTGACCATACTCAGCGGCAATGTGTATTGGGGCTTTACCATTGAAATATGTGTTAATATAATGTGAGCAGCGATTATCCGCCAACAGAACTTTTACAATGTCGGTATGACCTTTTTCACATGCTATGTGTAAAGGTGATTTGCCATGGTGAAGCCTATTTACATCTAAATTTGGTTGTTCCAATAGTAGTTTAACCAATGCAACATTACCATCCTCAGCTGCTATGAAAAGAGGTGTTTTCTCATCAGGCGTCAGTGCATTAATATTAGAATTCACTTCTATGAGCTTTTTTGTTAATTCTACGGATCCTTTTTCAACTGCAATGTGCAATGACGTTTTGCCACATGAATTGAGCTCATTCATGTTAACTATCTTATTTTGCATAATGGTGCTTAGTGAAGATATGTCATTGCTTTCTACAGCAGCAAATAAGGAAGAGTCGGAATTAGACATTATGATAAATTGTATGGACAAGTAATATGTTGAATGCAAATTTTAGCTATTAAATGCGTAAAAAATTCTCACAAAAGGGCAGAGCCTAGGAGAGTTATTTAAACCTCGAAAAGAGCTCCGATTAGAAAATGATAATTTAATGAGTACAGAGGACCAATTAACAGATAATCATGAACTCTCACGTCATCAGGTTACACTAATAAAACCCTGAGCTTTCAGAAGCTATAAAATTATTATAGTATAGAAATTGATACAGCTTAGTCTATAATGTGAGTTTTGTTGTTCTTTTTTATGAATTTCAGAACAACTAACTCTCAAAGAGAAATTTCAGATGTGCTGGTACCTCTACAATTAATTCTGAAGCCCGATATTTTAGAAATTGCTGCTGAACTGTGGCGGGGTCAGTTGTTCTTCTGGAACAAAATAAAATTGCATTTGATAATAGAATTGTGTCCTACTATTTCCGTATGAGCACTTGGCTTTAAATTGTTGTTCTCACGTCTGAAATTATGAGGAATAGAGGTAAACTTAAAATTTCAACCTAAAGAGATGCTAAGTTTTCAATAACGAAAATGAAGACTTGAGCTTCCACACCTATCGTCAAGTTACATAAATACAGCCTTGAAAAATGGAAATCCATGAATTAATAAGATCTATTCTTTCCCACACAGAAATTTAGGAGCTGCTCTGTGTGAAGAGAGGAAGGCAATTTTTACATTTTAAAAAGGTTTGTACCTCTATAGGTAGTTAAGAAGTGAGTTATGCTTAGAGTTAAATCCAAAAATAAGCTTGGGGTGTTGAAAAGTAGCAAAAGTAGGTGTTCTTCTGGAACAAAACAAAATTAATTTTTACGATATGATGTTTTAATTTCAATATTGAGGGAGCTTTTGGCTAGAGATTGTGTGAAAAATTAGGAAATTGCTTGGACGAAAAACAATCAAGCTGTACTGAGTGACTCAAATTAAGAAAAAAAAAAAATCGCATAAAATTACAATGCCTCACAATGAGTCAACTTTAAAGAGAGAAACACAGAAGAAATGCGATTTTTCTCAATTGAGACTCGTCTTCTTCATGCACTATCATGTCGGTTTCAGGGGAGAACCAACGTATGATCATGAACAACCCTCTTGTTTAAATAAGGGCTGCCGCAGAATTTAGGAAATGAAATTCCCTGACATTTGAAGGATACTTAAACATTCATGATTTGAAATAGTATTCAAATAGTTTTGAATGATTTCGCATTTGTTGTTCATGCACATTCTAAAATGCAAATGAAGGTGCTTCAACATTTTTCCTTTACATTTCTCGGTTTTCTTTGAATTTTTAAAATTCCAAGACATTTTTTGAATTCGCTCTTCTCCCCAACTGTGGCAACCCTGGTTTAAATAGATTCGATGAAAATAATGTATCACAAATTGGCCAAAATGTCCCACTTCCCAAAAATTAAAATCTCTGAAACTTAAATAAATCAAAATTCTGTTCTTCTATAGGCATTTTAAAGCTCTGAGATTCGCTCAAGATATATTAAATAGAGCTTTAAACTAATCATACATCTGCATGACAATGACAAGGAGCCTATTGATAAAAACGAAGTTGCAAAGAACCAAAGTGGTACAATTTTTTTTTTAGTCGAATAATAATCCACATCCAATGTCTATATCTTCAAAGCTCACAACCCAGCTTTTAAGGCAGGGATGGGTTCTAGACTAAAAGAAAAAAGTCGTGGTGACTTACATTCAATAAACTAGTTTAGAACTAGAAAAAAGTTGGTGGGCTTAGTTCAAACAGTTGATGACTAAACAGAGATCTGAAGATCAACTTCAAGTAGATAGTACAATCTTCTGGAACAAAATAAAAGAAAGCAAATAGGGTTGATTCAAAAAATGAGCAAAGTATACCATAACATGAAACGATAAAATGAGCAAATAAATTGTGTTTTGTTTTGGGATTGTTGAGACTACAATGGTTGCCATAATTTCTTCATCTTTGAATTCCCGGAATTTTCTCTAATTTTTATTGCTATTTCCTAACAAACGAATAAAACTTCCACTTTTATTTTTTCCTCTTCAATTACACTCACTTCTGCTAAACGCAAACACATTGAATTCTCCGTCTTTTCCTGGTTGCTGCAAATTCCCTGACTTTCCAATTTTCCAGGCTGCCCGCAACCTTTGACTACTAATTTCACTTGAACACAGAAAGTTGAAATGATATAAGGAAAAATGGAAAGAAACAAGAGATAGCAAACACTCACCTCGGCGTTTTCTGACACAAAGGATTGGTTTATAGAGAAATGACAGTGGGGCTGAACTGTGGAGTGTGGACTCTCTCATAGCAAGCATAAGAATTATCGAGTCGATTTTGACTAAAAATAAAGTTACTAAATAATGGACAACTAGACAAGGTACGAATCTAAGCATTCTGATACATATCTTTAACTAGAATTCCACGTAGAACACAGTTCTTGCATTGAAAATTACTGAAATCAACTCCTAACTGAGATATTAACGTTTTTACTTTACATTGACCGTGGGAAATTTGAATCGCCCAGTCACAAAAAACGCAATACTTTGCTTGAGCCGAATTGCGCACTGCAACAATAGTGGCGGGCTTTTTAATTGAACAATGTTACTTTTCCGCTTTGCATCCTTCAAAGTATTACCAACCTACAACAGGTAAGCCAAAGCACTGAAATCGAGATGCTATCTTTCTATATTGCGGAGACTTCTCTGGCAACTTTTAGTGCACAATTCGACGAAAGTAGAAAATTACGTTTCTATGAACAGAGGGATTGAATTCATGCATCAAGAAACATTAAATTTCTTGGTAGTTGATGTCAGTAATTTTTGTTGCCAGAATCAAGTTCTACATGAAGTTTTTGTTATGAAACATGTATCAGAATGCTTTACTTCGTACCTTGTCTAGGGGTTCATTATTCTTCAGTCTTATGGGCTGAGTATCTCTTAAAATTTTCTAAAGATATATTATCTAACTTCACGGTAAAAATAGTAGTAAACTTACATATTGTTTGCAATTTTGGAGCCTTTTTGTGAAGAAACCAAGATGAGACGAGTGCACAAGTTTATATGATAGCAAAAATCAGTCTTCAACCATCCTCAGTTCTCCTTAGGCTGTACAAAGTATTTTTTGTCTCCTTCTGACAGTTCAGAAACCCCACAACACCTAAAAAATAAGACATGCATGAGGCTCATGTGGTCCAAGAGGAATCTCGATTAGACGAAAAAAAAAAAAATCTAGCTTGATGAATAATTTCTGAACACAAGAACTACAAGAGTTGTGACGAGAGATGCCAGAAGGGCATAAGTTCAAAAACCCATGAGCCTGGTATCATTTACACAATCAGAATTAATTGGATATTTTAAAATACAAAAAAGGCAGAGTTCCAGATTCCACTTCCTAGGGAATTAAAGAAAAAGAAGTCATCATCAGGAATTTGAAAATTAAAGGAAAATAGAGGGTTTGAACTTAGAAGGCTCATTAAAAAGAAGGAGGGCAAGCTAAATCCTTAATGGATTTTAGGAATGTGACTTGTAAACACCAGAAAATAGTCTTAGTGTAACCAAAATACTTTGAGTACGTCTCACCATTAAATAGATTGCATTTAACAGAAAGGAACCGATGTGATAACGGTGTTTCTAAAGCAGGCATCTTCTTCTTTACCTCAAAAATACTAAAAACATGTCAAGTCATAGAATTTACACAGGCAGTTCCCTTTAAATTTCAAAATTTTTTGGTAGAAAACAAAAACTATTCTTGCCATTCTAGGAAATTTTTAACATGAAGCTGAAAAATAAATGGTGTTTTGCCATCCTTGCCCCCTCCCCCTCCAGAGGGTTTCGTATTTTGTGAAAGTTAAGAAATAGTTGGTTTCTGCAGAAATTTGTGCGCAATTTGAAATTAAAGTAACACAAATAGGTATCTTTATCAGTGAGTCATTACGACTTGTTGAACTTGTTTTGAATCGTTTACTACAACTACAAAATAGGTCTTTCATGCAATTTGTCCTTTTAAACGCATTAGATTGAAAGTCGCAAAACATTTTCGACTTTTACTTCGAGTAATAATCTTTATCATTTTAATAATTTCCTACCCAAGTCTTTTAATTTTCAACTTTGTATGACAGATAAATTAAATACCTCTTACAATTAGACTAAACAGCCATAAATGTTACTATGTACTTAATAATGTTGGCTAATATAGTAAATACATGATTAAAAAATAAATAGGCATACTTACTTAAAAACCAACCTTTAAATGATAGTTGTGGGCAGATATTTAGATTAAAGAAAATCTAAGAAGAGATTGTGTACAACAATTTATGTTACAAGGTGGAGAAATGGTGCTGGGTCCAACAATTTATGTAGTTATGGGTTTACAGTCTACTCCTGCCAAAGTTTGAAATTTCCTGGGGGGAAAAAAAACGAAAAAATTTTATGGATAAAAGCAGTCAATGGCACAAGTAAGTGTACCTAAGACAATACTAAGTGACTCCTATGATTGAAGAAGATATGGCCAGGACGTAGACTTGAATTACATTGAGTGCCTCCTAGTTAAGTGGGGTCGCTGATTCACTTAGATTACACAACTGCAGGCAATGAAGCAAAAACAGAGGCAAAGATTACTCATCACTTCAAGAAGAAGAAGAAGTACTGAAGATAAGCAGCACCAAGCCCATAGACTTAAGTGTGCGCGCATATATCATATCTTTCCACTCGATGATGCATTTTTCGGATGACGACAGCATTCTGCAGGGCTTATCTAAACGGCAATTCTGAGTATTGAAAACAGGAATGAGAAGGGGCATTCCAAAATTGAGACACAAACCTAACTTGAAAAGTCCTGGTAGCAAGACATGGAACTTGCCCACATTTTATGCATATTGCAAAGTGGAAGTGCGACCTTACCGACTCAAGTTGAAAGGGGTTTTATCATGTTTGCAGTCAAGCAAACATCAGCTTCAAGAGAGGGGGCCCAACATGTATCATAGCAGCCTAACATTGGGCACTGAGTTAGTACTGAACTACTGAAAGCAGTAAATGAGCCTTTAAGCAAGGTACAAATTGAAACAGTATGTAACATTTTTTCCCTTCAAAATTGAGCGAGAAAAATGAAACGGACAATAGGAAGTCGGAAAATCAATTTTTGAACACAATATGAATGTTTACAATTGGACCGCGTTAAACAGGAAGGAATCAAGCCACATCAGCTGTTGCCAAATTTAATTGGGCAATTTAATTTTTTACATGGTAACGGTTGTGCGGATTTTCGTGCAAATTTCAGTGAAAATTCTCCATGGTGCGAAGCAAATTCCCTAAAATTTTCAAAGAAATCCGAACAAACGCTCTCTTGTAAAAAATTTAATTGCACAGTTAAACTTGGCAATAGCTGATGTGGCTCGGTTCCTTTCTGTTAAACTCGGTCCAATTGAGATTGGACAAGTGGCAAAAAAACAAATTAGGTACATCACTCATATCATGTAATTTTCACTTTATCCGTGTTAGAATTACTTGATAATATCTCTTTCAAAATTTGATTTTTCAACCAGTGTTCCAACCCCACGAGCGCCATGTCGCCAAATGCTCCTAAAAAATCGGCCATGGCCCCTGAAAAATGAAGACCCTGCGCCAAACGTGGCTCCTAAAAAATTGTCACAATCCTAAATTGCGGTTTGATGATTTCAAGATTTTTGTCAGTCAGCCTGGACTGAACGTGCATAGCAAGCAGTTGCGCGCAGAACTTCGTCGCAGCAGCGGCTCAGCAGATCGAGAATCGTACTACTTATCGAACATACTATAGAATCGTTCTACTACTTTTCATAATAGGAAGTCAGAAAAAGTATTATTTAATTGAACAAACTTTAAGTAAACTAAAAGCTCCTTGTTTTAAATCGGAATATCATGCCTTTGGCCTTTCCCTTTCCCAAGTATCGGCTGCGAGCTGCAACTTGCAAGTCCTGTAACTGTATATCTTGCGTATAACTTTTCACTAAATGCGCCGTGATATATAGGCAAAAATTCAATTTGGCCCCTAAAAAATCTTCAATGGCCCCTAAAAATTGAACTTGATGGGCCAAACGGCTCCTAAAACTTGGAGGTGAAGTTGGAACACTGTTTTCAACATTCTATTGTGTGAATCATTTCTACATACAATTTTACAGAGAAATGAACTGCCATTAATTTCGAGTGTTCAGACCTTGTGACACAGTGTAACACAGCAACTACTTCACTGGTTCGACATCACAAGACTGAGTAGTCGCAGCCTCTCCATTCTTAAAGGCAATATGCTGACGTGCCAACTTCAAAGAGTGAGAAATTTGTGGGGTTCGGTACATAGGGACAAGCTTACTAAGAACCAAGCTGTTGGGAGTGTTTGTCTCGATCATGACTGAGCAAGTACCTACTAAGGATGGTATTTGAGGTTTCTTGCATATCAGTTTCATACGCTAATTTCTAAATGATTCATGTCATTGATCTTTACGCGATATCATCTATTGTTAAAATGTCAAGACATACTTACGAGTTTGCGTCTACAGAAGATTCTTTCCACTCAGGAAACCACGTGAATGAGAAATGAGTTGATGAAATGGATTGCACAACGTGTCAAACAATCGCCAAGGAGTGCAAAGACGAATCTAATTCCTCAGGGATTTACAGGATGGGTATGGCAAGGCAGGAGAAACTAGAATTGAAACCAATTGAAACAGCACTAGAGTTTGAACAGTAATACGATTTGTTTCTAATACTATCTCAAAATATACGCATCAAAGCTATCTAAGAGAACAAAATGTGAGACGAGGTACGAACTTACGAGGTAAAAAATTCGGAGAAGTAGGTTGGGTTGAGTGAAGCTATTTAATATTCTTTTATGTCATTAGAGGATATTGTTCATTATCACCTATTTCAGTTTCACCATGCTTTGTTTACATTGCACAACGTGAATAACGTGATGATAATTTTTTTTTGCCGGTTGTCTGATGGCGCTGCATCGGCGGCCGCATGAACTAAATTTAGGCGCCAATTCTGAAGGCGCGAAATTTTAAATTGACGGACTGTCCAAATGAGCGCGCCACCCCTTCCCCTCTCCCCCGCGATTGGCACTTGCCGCCGAAAAACCGCTCAGAAATGCTCGGGAACAAAATTTTAAGTCACTACAGGGAAAATTTTTCATCGTCAATTACAGGGCTTTATTCAGTACAATTTTTAATTACTTTTTTTTTTTTTTTTTTTTTTTTTTTTTTTTTTTTGCAAGTAATAATATTTTTAATTAAACATTCACAAATTGGAACTAGCAGAGACAGCTGGTGCTAGCCCGAAGGCCTATTTGAGTACATTCTAATTTTGAGGAAAGCAAAATAGTATTATAATAATAGCCCAAAAGATAATCTTAAATACTGTGGGTGTCACATTAGATTATACACATAGATTACAGGTTTATAATATCTTCAAAAATTGCAAGATAAAATGATCTGAATTAAATAATTGATCTTAATCTAAAGCTGCGATGGTGTCCCGGAATCACCTGATTGTAAAAATCTAATGACGTAGTACTTTGCTGTACCTTTCAAAGCGAGAATAATTTTGTTATGCAATGTGAGAGAAAACTATTCTCTTCGGAGTGACACGAATTTTCTCTAGAGAGAATATTTAAACGCGGCACAATGATTTTCTGCGGAGAAACTAAAAAACTATTTTCTCGAGAGAGAAAACTATTTTCTCCGGAGAGACACCTATTCTCTCCAAAGGGACAAGAATTTTCTCCAGAGAGAATATTTTCTCGGGAGGGACAACTATTTCCTCCGTGGTGATATCTATTCTCTACGGAAAGTTACCTCTGCTGAGAAAATGGTTTTCCCTCCCGAGAAAATAGTTTACCATCCCCACAAAATAGTTTTCTCCCTCGAGGGAATAGTTGTCTCTCCCGAGAAAATAGTTTTCCCTCCCGAAAAATTAGACTTCTTTGCCCAAGGAATAGTTTTTTCTCCCCAGGGAATCGTCCCCCCCCCCCCCCCCCNGAGAAAATAATTTTCTCTTCCGAGAGAATACTTTTCTCTCCCGAGAGAAAATTGCATAAACGCATTGTACTCGCTTCGAAACGTACAGGAAAGTACTGCTTTTTTAGATTTTTACAATTTTTTATTGTTTTATCCAACTGAGGAAGGCTGACTTTTCAGCCGAAACGTTTCGGTGATATTTACGCGAAAATTAGCCTTGTTACCAGCTATATGTAATTTGTTTTCTTATTGTATAACTTGTCATGGGCTGCGGAGCATCAATCATATCTCAAGTTTTAGTTAATCTTGAAACTTTTTTCCAGAATCCCTCATAAAATACAACTCTCTATTGGTAATAATATTAATTAAAGAGATCATCTTGAGATCAAGGTTTTCAATGTGTTTTATCCGGTAGTTTTCAATTCGCCTTCAGCTGTGGCCGCAGCAACTGTTGTTTCGAATATGTTGTGCGTGCTGATTATAGTTCAGTACATACTCGACTCTTTGAAGGCGTTTTTTGTGCACAAGCAACGCAGTCTGTCGGAGAACGAACAAAGTAGAGANTTGTTCGTTCTCCGACAGACTGCGCTACTTGTGCACAAAAAACGCCTTCAAAGAGTCGAGTATGTACTGAGCTATAATCAGCACGCACAACATATTCGTAACAACAATTGCTGCAGACGCAGCAGAAGGCGAATTTTTCAGTTAGAAAAAAAAGAGTATGATAAGTGATAAGTTCGTATGTAACGAAAGGGTACGTATTCGATCGAAATGAATCGGACGAAAAATAAAAACGTGAACCGATCAACTAAGAATCCAAGGACAAATAAGTAAAAAAGCTGATCAAACTCAGTAGAAAACTTGCATTCGTTATGAAAATTTCAAATGGCGGTATCTCGAAATTAGGATCAGCCAAGATTTTGATTTTCCGCGATTTTAAGTCCACTTGCACCATAGAGTCACCCCTTGCGAACCGTTTTCGGTACATTTTTGTCGCATTTTTTGTGTTCGGGTTTTATCAAGTCGTTCCAGGATGTTCTTAGTGAAGCGTACCTTGAGCACAGCTACTTGGCTGATTCCTCGTGAACCTGTCCTGCGAAAGCATGGAATACAGCGCGACTACACGATGTGCGTCACGGCGCCGCGAGGGTTCGGCAAAACGAGCATGATGAAAATTTTGAGGACTTTCTGCCAAGTCCAAGTCGACGCGGATGGGACACCCCTGCTGCGGGCTGATTATTGAAATTGATAGACAAAGCAATAGACAAAGAAGACAAAAAGGATTTGGAGGGATCCTACTGGTAGAAGCGGGTGGTTGCAATGGACAAAAGAGGTAGGCAATAGACTAACTAATGGCAACCCACGAGAGACCCGACAGTTAGTCTATCATTTTCTTCCTTAGTCTATGAGAACCACCCATTTCGACCAATAGGATCGCTTTATACCCCCTTGTCTTCTTTGTCTATAGGTTTGTCTATAAATTTCAATAATCGGCGCGCAGGATCGGAACTCCACCAGCATTAGGAAACTCCTCTCCAACCACAAGCTCGCCATCATGAAAGACGAAAAGTTCTTGTTCAACCAATAGGATCGCTCTGTACTCCTTCTGTCCTCTTTGTCTATCGCTTTGACTATCGATTTCAGTAATCGGCCCGCAGGACATTGTTCATGCTGTATTTGAATAATGGTTCCACCGGGGAGGGGATTTACACGCACGGATAGAAATGTAGAATTTAAATAAATAATACAATTGCGAATATCAATACATATAAGCTTACATTGTTTTATTAAATTTTAATTTAACTTTTCTAACATTTGTTTTTAATATGAAGTTTTCCTTTTTTAATGTTCAAAATAACATTTCAATTTTAAACAGAGTTTTCCTTCATGCAGGCCCGCCACATCCCATCTCGGGCCCTGGTACCAGTTTTAAGGTCCGGGCCCCAAGCACGGATGGGGGAGGGGTCCGAGGGGCATCCCCCGAGAAATTTTAGAATTTATACGACTAATCGGACGCATTTTGAAGCTTCCATAANCGTGAGCCATTGAAGTCGAGGATGCCCAGACTGGAGACTCTTAGCATCTGACGACGGAAGAAAATGAAACGCAGTTACTAAAAATATCCCTGTGTACTGAAAATCTTGAAAATAGATAGAAATTTTCCAAGAAGTATACTTCTTTGAAAATTTAAGAAGAATTCTAGAGTGCCCCAGCGTGTTTCTGAAAATCTATTCACCTTTTGCGAGATTTTTAGGGTAAATTATCCACTTTTTCTAACGAAACAAGGGTTGCATGTGAATTCGTAATGGTTTTTCACGGGTAACACGGGCCCCCTCCGGGGCCCGGGCCCCGGTACCAGGGACCAGGTATTCCCGCCTTGTGCCGGGCCTGCCTCCATGCACGCTGGGCGTGTCGATTTCCTCTGACATTTTTGCAGTGGTGAATGCATGGCTGAAGTGCGCTTCAGCTAGAATTATATTTAGCAAATGGGTGGTTTTTCTAAGAGGATTAAGAATAGACGAGTGGTACGCAATATAACAAAAGAATATGAACTATGCAAAACGATAATCCGGGTATCGGAACTTGGCTGTTTTGAAAACGCCTTCAAATGCGGCGTGACACTTCACGCATTCCGGAGAGTTCAAATAGTCGTATCATTGCGCCGTAAGAATGTGACGGAAGATTTAAATGGAAATAGCCTCCATGCACGCTGTGCTTGTCGATTTCCTCTGACATTTTTGCAGGGGTGAATGCATAGCTGAAGTGCGCTCCAGCTAGAATTGTATTTAGCAAATGAGTGGTTTTTCTAAGAGGATTAAGAATAAACGAATCATCATAAAAACTTAGTCTTAAGCCTAGTTTAAGTCAAACATTGTAATATAATATGTATAATTCCTGCTCAAGGAGACTATGTAAATAAATATAAAAAAAAAAAAAAAAAAAAAAAAAAAAAGAATAAACGAGTGGTACGGAATATAACAAATGAATATGAACTATGCAAAACGATAATCCGGGTATCGGAACTTGGCTGTTTTGAAAACGCCTTCAAATGCGGCGTGATACCTCACGCATTCCGGAGAGTTCAAATAGTTGTATCATTGCGCCGTAAGAATGTGACGGAAGATTTACGAGGTACTGCCATCTTGGTGCACTCATTTGTGACTCCATGAGCGAGAACTGATCAGAATTGGATTTTTTTTAGGCCACTTTTTCAGCCCAACCAAAAGTGAGACGTCGTAACTGTGGGTATGAAGGGACTCTTGTCTATTTTGAGTTGCAACACTCATCAATCGCATCGAGTCCCGACTTTGAGCCATTTTGAGCTTCCATTTCTAAGAGTGGAAGCAGCGCTTAAAGGAGTTCAGACGAATTTTGAAGGGGACTCGATTTCGAAAATTTGACACTTACGGTTCTCTTGGCTACCACGGCGGAGTCGGTTGTCTCTAAGGTAAGTAATTTACTTAAAGTAAATACAGGTATACTCTTTCCTAAAGTACTCTACTCTTCCCGACCCTTCCGGCCAGAACTTCGATTTCGGCTCCCGCCACTAGAGCTGTGGCGCGAAGTTTGAGTTTCAACAATGGACCACTAGACAAGGTACGAATTTCAGCATTCTGATACATGTTTCTTAACCAGAATTTCACGTAAAACACGATACACACAACGAAAATTACCGAAATAAACTCCTTACGAAGATGTTTAATGATTCTCGATGCGTGAATTCAAATCACCCGCTCATGAAAACTCAATGCTTTACGTGATTCACATTGCGCGCTAAACGTTGTCATGAACGTCTCTAAAAAATCGATAAAAAAATCTGGCAACCTCAATCTTGACGCTTTAGCTCAGTTATAGCAAATTACTTATAGTTTGAAAAACACATGGTGGGGAATGAACAATGCCCGATTGAGAAGCTTGCTGAAACCGCTGTAATGCGCGATTTGACTCGCGTAGAGCTTTGAGTTTCTTGTGAGCGGGCAGTTCAAATTTATCGTAACCAATGTGAAATAAAAACGTTAATATCTCCGTTAGGCGTTGGTTTCAGTAATTTTCGTTGCGCGAATCGTGTTCTACGTAAAATTCTGATTAAGAAACATGTATCTGAATGCTTCAATTCGTACCTTGTCTAGTGGTCCATTTTGCAGTTTTGGCCGAGAACAAATATAACCGCCTGCTGTTGATTAAAACGAACAAATTCAATGCAAGCGAAGCTTAAAACATGAAAATTCATTTGCTCTTATTATTCTGGCGGTTTTTTTTTTCATTTTTATCAACAGCAGGCGGTCATATTTGTTTCCGGCCAAAACCCAGGGTGACTAGCACTTTTCTTTAAAAAAACTTCCCTGACATTTCCCTGATTTCCCCGACAAAAACGGCCAAAAAACCGGGGAAAATTTAAAATTCCCAGACATGTTCCTGACAAAGAGGAAAAATATTCCTAATTTTTCGACACGGTTGAACTGATAACATGTAAGTTAGAATGTTTTTCATGTTTTAGGAATATAATGTCATGAATAGAGAAAAATATATTATGGTGCCTAGACTTAGGCGAGATATTTTTGCATCATATTTAAAATTTAAAAAACGCCAGTACAGCCAAAATTCTGCTAAAAAAAATTTGGTAGAAATCTCCGCGAGATTAAAATTCGCGAGACATATTTCGAAAAATTCGTGTTTTTCGATTTCCCTGACGTTCCCCCAACACGCAAATTGCTTGCAAATTTAAAATCCCTGACATGCCGAATTTTCGCGGATACCCTGACGCTTTCCTTCATGCCCCTGATACAATAAATACATTCCCTGACATTTCCCTTTTTTCCAGGTTTCCTCGATCACCAGACACCCCGAAACCGCAAAATCGTTGAAATTTAAACTTCGCCCCACAGCTATAGCGGCGGGAGCCGAAAGGATTTGGAAGGGTCGAAAAATTCGTGTTTTTCGATTTCCCTGACGTTTCCCCAACACGCAAATTGCTTACACAATAAAAATCCCTGACATGTCGAATTTTCGCGGATACCTTGACGCTTTCCTTCATGTCCCTGACAGAATAAAGGAATTCCCTGACATTTCCCACTTTTTCAGGTTTTCCCGGTCGCCAGACACCTTGAAACCGCAAAATTGTTGAAATTTAAACTTCGCGCCACAGCTCTAGCGGCGAGAGCCGAACGCCGAGTTGTAGCCAAAAGGGTCGAGAAGGGTCGAAAAATTCGTGTTTTTTGATTTCCCTGACGTTTCCCCAACACGCAAATTGCATACACAATAAAAATCCCTGACACGTCGAATTTTCGCGGATTCACTGACGCTTTCCTTCATGTCCCTGACACAAAAAAGAAATGGACCATTAGACGACAAGGTACGAGTTTAAGCATTCTGATACATGTTACTTAACCAAAATTTGACGTAGAACACGATTCGCGCGACAAAAATTACTGAAACCAACTTTTAATGAAGATATTAACGCTTTTATTTCACATTGGTCACGAGGAATTTGAACTGCCCGCTCACAAGAAACTCAAAGCTCTACGTGAGTCAAATCGCCCACTACAACGGTTTCAGCAAGCTTCTCAATAGAGCAATGTTCATTTCCCACCATGCGTCGTTCAAACTATAAGCAATTTGCTATAGCTGAGCCAAAGCGTTAAGATTGAAGTCGCCTGATTTTCACATCGCAGAGACTGTCATGATAACGTTTAGCGCGCGATGTGATTCACGTTAAGCATTGAGTTTTCATGAGCGGGTGGTTTGAATTCACGCACTAAGAATCATTAAATATCTTCGTAAGGAGTTGAAATCGGTAATTTTCGTTGTGTGCATCGTGTTTTACGTGAAATTTTGGTTAAGAAACTCGTATCAGAATGCTAAAATTCGTGCCTTGTCTAGTGGTCCATTCTCTGACATTTCCCAGTTTTCCAGGTTTTCCCGGTCGCTAGACACCCTGAAACCGCAAAATGGACCCTAGACAAGGTACAAATTTCAGCATTCTGATACATGTTTCTCAACCAAAATTTCACGTAGAACACGATACGCACAACGAAAATTACCAAAATCAACTCCTGACGAAGATATTTAATGATTCTTGATGCGCGAATTCAAACCACCCGCTCATGAAAACTCAATGCTCTACGTGATTCACATCGCGCGCTAAATGCTTATAATGACAGTCTCTGCGATGTAAAAATCTTCAACTTCAATCTTGACACTTTGGCTCAGCTATAGCAAATTACTAATAGTTTGAAAAACACATGGTGGGAAATGAACATTGCTCGATTGAGAAGATTGCTGAAACCGTTGTAGTGCGCGATTTGACTCACGTAGAGCTTTGAGTTTCTTGAGAGCGGGCAGTTTAAATTCCTCGTAACCAATGTAAAATAAAAATGTTAATAGCTTCTTAAAGAGTTGATCTCAGTAATTTTCGTTGCACGAATCGTGTTCTACGTGAAATTCTGGTTAAGATACATGTATCAGAATGCTTAAATTCGTACTTTGTCTAGTGGTCCATTGTTGAAATTTAAACTTGGCGTTCCAGCTTTAGCGGCGGGAGCCGAACGCTGATTCCTAGCCGAAACGGTCGGGAGGCGCATACCTCCGCTCCACTTACCTCGGGTTGTCTCACCCCGGCCCCGGTTCGGCGCGGCGTGGGCGGTGGGCGTGGGTTGGGCGCGTGCCGGGCCGGCGGCCAATGGGCGCCGGGCGGCGTGGCCGGCGCCCGGCGGGAGTGGCCGGCGGCGACCGCGGTCCGCGGTCGCTGCCTCGGCCCCGGGCAGTTCCGCGCCGGCTCTCAGCTCTCACTCGACTCGCTCCCGCCATGGTCGACCCGCGCCAACCCCTCGTCGCCGCGCTCGCGATGGTCCTGTTCGCCAACCTGGGGAGTGCGGTGCTCGGGACCGGAAACTCGGTGCTCGGGACCGGAAGTGCGATGATCGGGCCGGGGAACGTGCACGACCGGACGACGTGCCCGCGGTGCGCCCTCCACCGGCAGGCGCTCGAGGCCTCGCTCTCGGAGGCCGAGCTGGCCAGCTCCCGCGTCGAGTACATCAAGCAGCAGATCCTCAAGAAGCTGCGGCTCAAGGAGCCGCCGCTGGTCAAGCGCCGCGCCAGCGTCCCCGCGCACGCCTTCCAGACGCAGCCGCCGCCGGACAGACCCGAGGACGAGTTCGAGGACGACGGCGACGACTTCTACGGCAAGACCGGCAGGATCGTTCTGTTCCCTCTTCAAGGTAGGATTCACCTCCCACAGCCGCACAGCAGACAGGGCTAGAGTCCCTTTATACTGAGAGTCAAGACAATTTGAATCCATTTCTGATTGGTTCCCGTATTTTAGGCCTCCACAGTGTCACAAACGGGAATAAAGATTACATTTTCACCAATTGCAAAGATTATAATCTGGAATGGACCAGGGAATTACGGGTTCGGCAAGGAACAAACGGAATGAGAGGAGGAACGGAGAAAGGCATTTGAGAATGAGCCGATCAAAGATTACGAAAAACATTCAATTTCTGTAATCTTTATTCCCGTTTGTGACATCCATGAGCCGAATTGTCTTGACTCTCAGTATATAGGGACTCTAGACAGGGCTGTATTTACATTTTTAGCGCCCTAGGCTAAACTTAGGGTGGCGCCCCTAAAAGAACGCGCTCTCGTGGGGGGGGGGGNGGGGGGGGGGGGGGGTTCCTCAGACGCCCTTCCCTTCCAGAACAGAAGGAGAATGTTACGTGTCAGGAAAATGTTCAAATTCACCTTTAAAAAAACACGATTTTAAACAGTTTTGAGGTACGTTTACGTTTGCAAGTTGATTTTGGAAAATGAAAAGTAACAAAGGACTCGTTAAATTTAAAAAAAAATTCTCTTTACTTACTATTTTACAGTGGTTTCTTTCTTGCTTTTTTGTCAAGTTTTTGAATAAATTCTCAAAAATTTTGCGCCCCTCAGAATGTTGCGCCGTAGGAGGCTATAGCCTAAGTAGCCTATTGGTAAATCCGGCCCTGACAGCGGATCGAGTCAATAGGAGAGGTCGGACAAAATTTTGAAACTTAAAACCTAATAAATCCGGTCCTAGGCCGTTTCACGGGATTTGTCCCAGGGAAAAATCCCACTTACGAAGTTGGGGAAAATATTGAGTTAATCAATATTTTTCGCAGTACCAAGCACGGTCCTTGTACCCCTATAGGACCCACCGAGAGAGGAAGAAGAAGTGAAAACAAATTGTGTGATATTTTGTTGATTACTCCAATGATTCATGTTTGTTTGGTTAAAATAATGTGTCTAATTTTCAATTAGGTGCAATTATTATTTTGATCTCGGTTAAATACTCGACTTTATCTAATTTATCTTCCCGCGCAAACTAGTCGCAGGACCGTGTGAGCCTCGTCCGGTGGAGAGGGTAACTGGAAAAAATCCCAGAAGTTTCATTCTTGCGATTCGAACTTGGGACGAATCCCATGAAAACGTCCCGTAAAGACAAGACCATACAAACATTTGATGTTCTAAAAGTGGTTCCATTGGTTTCCTCGTAAGATTTCCTTCTGGTAATACCCATTGAAATTTAAAATGTGGCGAAATAAACTTCAAAAGTTGCAGTTTTGGTAAAAAAATTTCATGTCCAACCTCTCCACTTGACTCGATCCACTGTGAGCCGGGCAAAATTTCATCAAAAATCACATCTAGTCATTTCACGCGAAACATTTCATGAAAGTTAAGAAATTGATCAAAGATATTGAAAAATACCGGTTCCTTTTCACGTTTCGCAAAATGTGAAAATTGTATGACTTTCTTCTATATTCCTCTATTTGAAAGCAGGTAGCATACTCTAGCCCCGATTTTTTTACGATTTTTGGGAGGTAAAATCGTTCGGATCGTCGACATCTGAGAGATTATCCTCGATCTTGTCGCAATTTTATTACTGTCACATCGCATTCGATAAAATCGAAATTTCATCATAATTCATCCCGATTTTTTGTTCGATAATATTGCGATAAATCGCCGTCGATAAAATCGCGATACATTCTCCGATCAAATCGCAACTTGTCGCGATCACTGCTACTTGGGTATATCGATATCTCGATGGCTAAAGTGTGAAACCACGTATCCCCCAGTGGCGTGGCGTGAATTGCGATGTATCGATTGTTATGCCATTTAAACCTATGGTAAAGAATCGATTATGAAGGTGTTCGCTGCGAACACCTTAATAATCGATTCTTTACCATAGGTTTAAATGGCCGATCAATCGATACATCGTAAAGCACGTCACGCCACTACTCCCTGCATATTATTTAGGTTGCGAGGGATCAGTTACGCGGCGTGCTTGGCGATTTATCGCGATTTTTAAGTCGAAAATATCGCCATTTTATCCCGATAAGATCGCGGATAATCCCTCAGATGTTGATGATCCTAGCGATTTCATCGCCGATAAAATTGCAATACATCCCGATTTTTCCGTTGAAAAATCCTACACGGGTAGCATTTTTCCGAGCAATTTCATCGCCAGGCAATTTATCGCGATATTTTCGAAACGAAAATCGCGATACATGGCGATTTAATCTCGATTTTGAGAATCGATCGCGATTTTATCGAACCAAAAATTGCGATGTGTAGCGATTTAATCGCCATATATCGCAATTTTTGATGCGATAATATCTCGATGTATTGCCACCGATTTAACCGCGATACCCAACCGATTAAATCGCTATTTACCGCGATCACTGCTATTTGAGACACGGTAAGAAGAAGCGTGGTAACCGGCGTTTTGTGTTAACATGGGAAGTTGAGTGCAAAGAAATCTAAACGTGCAAATTCGCGGAAAAGTCGGAATTCTGAGCAATTTTGGGGGGTTTAGGGGGGGCCTACTCCCCCCCACCACGATGAAATTCGCGTAAACAAGGAAAATCTTATTCTACTAGTTGAGAGCTTCAAGAATATCACCATCTTCAAAATTCCCACGGGGGGGGGGGAGGGTTACCCCTTGCTGGCCCACGGTCTACTATATTTTTTGGTTAATTTTTCCTTGGGGTACATCGACCAAATCTCCGGGATAAAACGTGGAGGCTCCAGAGGCGGATCCAGCAATTTGGCAACACCGGATTTCCTCCATTTAAACCTATGCTAAGTAATCGATTCTTGTCGGAGCGCCTGGCCCCCTGTGAATCGATACATTTCCATAGGTTTAAGTGTAGGAAAGTCGGTGTTGCCAAATTGCTGGATCCGCCAATGGGAGCCTCGTCGAAAAACAGGCGCGAGTCGTCAGGATTAGAGTCCCTTTATACTGAGAGTCAAGGCAATTTGAATCCATTTCTGATTGGTTCCCGTATTTTAGGCCTCCACAGTGTCACAAACGGGAATAAAGATTCCATTTTCACCAATTGCAAAGATTATAATCTGGAATGGACCAGGGAATCACGGGTTCGGCAAGGAACAAACGGAATGAGAGGAGGAACGGAGAAAGGCATTTGAGAATGGGCCGATCAAAGATTACGAAAAACGTTCAATTTCTGAAATCTTTATTCCCGTTTGTGACATCCATGAGCCGAATTGTCTTGACTCTCAGTATAAAGGGACTCTAGTCAGGATCAAACCTTGATTGTTTACGAGGCGTGCGTTTTGGAATTTTGCGAGTTGATGAGCCTCGAGTGAGCGGCAGGGAAACCAGTGCCCCTTCAATTTTTGAAAATGCAACACGGGCGTCCCCGCAGCACGAATAATTGCATCATGGCGGTCGCATTAACTGCGCTGCCGCACTATAAAAACCGCCGTTTGAGCAGTCAAATGTTGCCAAATTGGATCACATTTTGCAATAAGGAACCACTATTTCTGACTCATTTTAGGAACAGCATATATGCCATTGGTTTCCTTTTGCAGAAATGGATTGCATTTTGCAAAAAGGAACCACTAGCATCGCAATGATGCTAAAATTGTGCAACTTCATCCTTTGCAATAAAATTGCGGAAATCGTGAAAATCTATGAAATTTAGATGGTAATTTTTGTCTTAAATTTACAGTTTTTAGCGAGTAAAATAGAAACTATTAATGGATAATCGGGTTTTTCCTCCAAGACAAAAGAAGTTGCACAATCTTAGCAACATTGCAATGCTAGTGGTTCCTTTTTGCAAAATGCAATCCAAATGTGCTTTTACTGAAGAGCCAGAGATAGTGGTTCCTTTTTGCATAATGTAATCCAATTGATCTACACCTATTCATTCGAGCAAGGACAACAATTGGACCGCGTCAAACAGAAAGGAACCAAGCCACATCAGCGATTGCCGAATTTAATCGGGCAATTAAATTTTTTACATGAAAACGGTTGTACGGATTTTCGTGCAATTTTCAGTGAATTTTCTCCTTAACACAAAGCAAATTCCTTAAAATTTTAAAGGAATATGCATAGACGTTCTCTCGTAAAAAATGTAATTTCTCTGTTAAATTTGGCAATAGCTGATGTGGCTTGGTTCCTTTCTGTTTAACGCGGTCCGATTTTCACCTCGAAATTTCAAAGAATGAGTCAGCTACATTGGTCACAGAATCGTATTTTAATGCTTGATTCTTGTAGATTAGCTACAAATCATGAGATCTGTCCAAACAGCGATTTTTTTGCGTTCAATATTCACCGAGATATCGCCCTTTGAAATGTCGGGTTTCTCGCATTATCCACCGCGGAAGTGACACCCTTAGTTTCTTCGACCTTGCTTTCATCGATCAGTGAAACGCACATTTGCACTGGTTGCTCAACAGTGGCGTGGCGTGAATTACGATATATCGATTGTTATACCATTTAAAACTATGGAAAAGGATCGATAGACTGGGTGTTCGGAGCGAACACCTTAATAATCGATTCTTTCCTATATGTTTAAATGACAAAACAATCGATATATCGCAATTCACGCCACGCCACTGTTGCTCAACGTGAAACTCGGTCGAAAGTAAGGCGGAAGAAACCAAGGGTGTCACTACCGCGGTGGATGACGGCAAAAACTCGACTTTCCGAAGGGCGATATCTCGATTTAACATCGAACGTAGAAAGTTGCTGTTTGGGCGGATCTTTATTTTCAGCTAATCTACAAGAATCGAGCATTAAATCACAATGGACCACTAGACAAGGTACGAATTTCAGCATTCTGATACATTATTCTTAACCAAAATTTCACGTAGAACACGATGCACACAACGAAAATTACCGAAATTAACTCCTTACGAAGGTATTCAATAATTCTTGATGCGTGAATTCAAA